TTATTTTTTGCAAATTCAGCTCGGTACAAGATCTTTAAGTTGGAAATGGAGTCCTCGAGCTGAACTGCCACATCCAAGCTGGTGGAAAAAAGGCGGATAAAAATATTAAAATTTGTCTTGTGCCTAAAACGTGCTACGAGCTGTTATTGGAATACCAGCAGCTGTGCAAACATGAAATATATCAGACAAATATTTAAGGAAATTATGAACCAACGGCAAATAATCCAATATGTGTGTGTTGGTCTATTTTTAGGCGTATGTATAGTATGAGATGGGTTTGTAAGATAAGCTCAGAGCAGTTTTTGTAAACATCAATGTACATTTTTAATGTATGATCATTCATTTAAATCGGCCGATGTAAACCTGTTCCAGAATGAGCAGCCGAGACGGCATAAAACGTTTGATGTGTCTGCAGAGAATCGAAAAGCTGGTCATGGGTAGACCGACCTGTTTCGACAGCTTTGTGCTACAAATTTCTACCTTTACCCTTTCGGGCACTCAATACTATAATGTTGTATTTTAATATCGAAGTGACGATTTGGATGAATGTACATGAAATTTGGATTATAGTTTAGATCTATAAAGGTAGATAATGCAGCACCTTAATATAGAAGTGGGGATTATGTGAACAATGGATTATTTTATAGGCGAGCTATAAAAATTGATGGAAATGTAACCAACTGCATAATTTCCCAGTCCAATTTATTTTTAGAACCAATATTATAAAGTGAACACATAATCAAGAAGATATAACCGATTGTATTAAAAACTCAAGAAGAATTTGCGATTTTATGCTAGCTAGAGAGCTTTAGAGATAGGGCAATAGGGTAGTCATTAGAGCAATTATGCTCTAGAATCTCTCTACATTCTATATAGTATATAGTATATTCCATTCATAGTTCAAAAATCGCCCTATCTTCCAGTAAAATTAATATTTCTTTAGTAAACTACTGTTCTCTCATTCTATATAGTATAGTATAGTATAGTCCTTTCATAGTTCAAAAATCCCCCCTATCTTCCTAAAAAATTCGCATTTCTTTAGTAAACTACTGTTCTCTCATTCTATATAGTATAGTATAGTATATTCCATTCATAGTTCAAAAATCCCCCCTATCTTCCTAAAAAATTCGCATTTCTTTAGTAAACTACTGTTCCCGTATCTATATACACATATCACATCTAGAAAATCCATTATTTGCTTTGCTAGTTATCGCCTCAACAATTGATTAAATGATTATCTTTAATTTACAGCATGAGCTGCTAATTGTCATTTGACATTTGTGTGATTTTCATTTATGTTTAAAAAAGCTCCATTAAATGAAAATAAATTCGACATTTATGCTAATTAATTATTCATCATAAGCTCATTTGTTTTATTTGACTTGTTTACATGAGAAAAACACAGAGTGTCTCGTAAAACTGTTTATGGTTTTTTATGAATATCCATTCGTTTGATCCAAATTGGATTATCGTGTGTTTTTGCATTTTGTACAGTGTTTTACCAAAATCAAAAGGTTCTACAAAATTGGTGCACTACAAGTATATCATATAGCTGTCATATTAATATGATATTTATGCGATTTTATAGAACCCCACCACAATTTGAAAGTTTCTGCACTCAACCACATACTTGTCATAGGAACGAAAGGTGAAAAAATCGCAGCTAGAATGGATCTTCTTACTAATAGCTAACTTTTTTGTCACCTTATTTGTTATTTATCCTAGGTTCCCACCATAATTAAAGCGCTAGGTAGTATATATAAATGATTGATGCGACAAAGTTGATTTTGATTAAAGGAATGTGAAAAAAGGGGGCGGACACAGGGGCTAGAAGAGTTGTCCTGGCGCTGGAAAAAGCATACACACCTCCTAAACACACCCTGACACGTGGGCGGAGGTGGAATTTATGGAGCAAGCTTAACACGTTTTAAATATAATTTCATCGAATTTGAACTCAACTGGAAAATTTGCTGTGTGCAACAAATGACCTTGATTATAATTAAATGTTAGCAAAGACACATACACATACTATATCATTAAGTATATATATATAGTACACACATAGAGTGTGTCGTAGGAGGCTTAGTATACGGGTATTAGTATTACCGATGAGGAAATGTTACATAAACGGCCTGAATCTGGTCCCTATTTTGGTTCCATTTTGCCATTTTTCCGTTTTTTCCATACGGTAGAGTGTTCAATTAGAAGCTAAAGCTGCTTTCACCCTTTACTCTTTAAAGCACCACTATAATCTGGTCCCTAATTCCATTTTGCCATTTTTCCGTTTTTCCATACGGTAGAGTGTTCAATTAGAAGCTAAAGCTGCTTTCGCGTACACGCAAAGGCCAATTTGAAAAATATAAATACAGCAGCTTTTTAAGCTGATTATTTGGTTCGCTTTGACGCTGACGGTGTGCGGCGAACATATTTTTATGCTTAATTGATTGGATTATCTCAGCATCTACCTCTGTGCGAGTATATCGATTTTGTAGCACGGACATTGGAGATTGTGCAGAAATCAGATTCACTCGCAATCAAATTACTGGACAACATTATTGAAATTTTAAAGGCACTCTTGTGTACTTTGCGCCCTCCCCGCCCATCGTCCAGAGTCCTTTAACTAGAATAAAATTTGTTGCATCAAACATTTCTTTGACAACTGAGGCAATATAACAAATTTTCGAAATAACAAACTTAGTTGCGATGTTGTTGTAAAGAAAAAATTGGTTAGTTCTATCATTGATTTCTGGCAGCTATATGATATAGTGCACCGATTTTAATGAAACTTTATATTAAATACAAACTTTTTCCATTTTAAAATATATTAATGAACATTATTTAGCGCCGATTTTTTTAAAGATGATGAGTTACGGAAGAAACGATCGGTTCTATTGAAGCTACATAAAATAGATAAGCCAAGTCCATATACTGAAAAATTTTGGTGTTCCTAGCTATTTTGGTTCAAAAGTTGTCGAGGTTCATACAGACGGACAGTTTAAAACAAACAAACCAACAAATCTATATATTTTCACGTCACGTCATGCTGTTCTTCGGGCATTTGCCTATAAGAAGGGGTATAAAAGGAAATATACAAAGCATAAATGCCTGGATTTTTGTTTTCGACCACTGTCATAGCTTTGGACAGAGTTGTGGGACCAGATGGCATACATATAGACACATGTGTGCGTATTCCGCGCGCTGACTATGTTCAAATGTATTCATGGGCGGAATATGTGGTGAATGGGAAATGGGATGGAGGCAGCGGCATCTGCCGCAAAAGAATTGATTGATTTCACGTCAACCAAACAAGCAGCCAACCAAAGAACCAGCCAGTGGCGAACACAGAGAGAGCACTGCCCGCTCGCTACTTGATGTCGTTATTTATAGCTAATATCTTTAGAAAATGGGAAATATTATTTTTAAGTCGCATAAGCTGTGTGGCACTGACATAGCGTGTAAAGTGTATAGTATGTTGGCAGTGGTAGGCACAGTATTTTTGTTTCCATGGATTTCGCGCATTGAACATTTTTAAGCATTAATGCAACCCCGTATATCTACATCCTATATGTAAAATACTATATATCTCATCGACCTCATTGCGTTAAATAATTAATTCCGCGGAGGAGCATATGCCATAAAATCAGTCCATGGAAAGCTCTCATAAGCATAACTGATAGGTGAGTTATGGGTATGATGAGACAAATCCACTTAATAGGCACTTAGCCGGTCCCATTTGATTACGTCTGCCATCTGGGATATCCAGAAAAGAAACTATTGAATGATATTTTTTGTTTCGTCGTTGCTTTACATGGAAAATTATGCTGGACTCAACCTTGACCTCTTTCTTCCATTTCCTAAAGAATACAGAAGTTGTGTCGGTTTAGAGTAAATGGAAGTTAATGTTCTATATGTTCTGCAAAGTAGAGTTCTTTGTATTGTTGCATAACTGAACACTTGAAGGGCTAACACATTTTTAGTTTGGAGGTATCGTTAATAACCCTAAAAGTGGCAAATCCGTTAGTTGACCTTGATTTTTTTTAGAATCTTCATATATTTTTCTAAATACTAATGCTTGTTGGACCCTTGAGGTCCATGGTCAAGTTGAAGAAGGAAAAAGAATCTGGTGGTTTCTAAAACCGAAACGGAATTATCAATTTCTAATAAAAGAAATTGTTCCAACGAACTTTTTTTAATATAATGATTTAATATAATTTTTGATGATTTAAAGTACCATAATAACCAAAAAACTGTTGTTCCAATTATAATGTTAAGAATGTAATTGAATTCTGAACGACTGCTGATCTGCTTTGAATATGTACGAGTATATATTATGCAGGATAACAAATTATATGAAATAGTGAGATCAACCGCTGGTAGTCATTCATCCATCAACCTCTGGTAGCAAAATCATCTGAAAACCTAAATGACATTTTCGCTTAAGCAATTTCGAAGTGAACCTATTAATGGGTACTTGAAACCATCAAAAACATGTTTAATTAACATGGGTGTTGAAGAAGCAATGGGAAAAAGAAAGGCAGTCAGAAAAGATAAAAAGATTATAAAGATAATAGATAATAAAACACTAGTACTTAGTCATTTCAAACAGCAAATGATCCATGAGCCATTATTGGTTGTGAATAAAAACTAGGGAGAGTAAGATCGCTAGTAATTGCTTCAGTATTAGATGAGGTGTGTGTTTCAGACCATTATTTAGTGGTTGAGCACTGAAGCTAATCCTAAGCTTTGGTTTGACTGTACTTCGAACTTCGATAATTTTTGAATCGTAACAGCTATGGACATCGGAATTGGCGTGTAGACTTCTCCTATTCTTATGCACTTAAGCAAAGAAAATATAATCTTAGGAAGATGGAACTGCTCATTTGGTCGTTCCTTTTTTCAGTACTTTGAAATGATCGTTCTTCTATATATGTACTATATGTATAGTGTTATCAGATGTTGTAATCAAGTGAAATAATGAACGTTTGTTTTTGTATTTTCAGGGGAAGTGCGTCGCATCTGCTAGACTGAAGACTGGTCGCCGCTAGCGGATTGCCGCAATTGCGGCGCCATGGATCATTCCGTGAATGCGACGCGCGGCCGCCCGCTTAACACGCTGCGGTTCGAGAACGACGAACTGGAATGTCTGTACCAACGGTATACGCTGAAGTTGCAACGCTTCTCGGTGCTGGGCGTTGTGGCGCTGGTCGTAGTGCTGTGTGGGGTCATGGCCGCCCTGTCATTGGCCTTCAACAATGCCCCAACCTTTCATGTGAGTGTCGTAATCGCTGGTCTGTCGGAAGACTTCTCTATATTTTCGATGTTCGATTGCAGAACATATTTAATGGCATTGTTTGCCTGCTGTTCGCCATTGTGCTGGTGCTGCTACAATGCTCCATCATCAAGGATCACCATTTACCGATACTGTGCTACGGGATTTTGCTTTTCACCGCCAGCATCTGCATTGTGTCGATGCCGACACTGGGAAGTGTCTTTCCCGTCGACACCAAGGAGGTTATGGCCGAGGGCGTCTGGCAAATTGTGTTTGTAGTCTTTCTGGCCTATGCCATGATGCCGCTCCAAATCTGGGAGGCGGTCACCTTTGGGATTGTTGTGCCTTCGGTGCATATTAGTCTGACGGTGTACAAAATCTTCACGGACTCGTTTCGCTATTTGGAGTACAACCAGCTGATTGCCAACATTGTGGTATTCATTGGCGTCAATGTCGCTGGCTTGGTGGTAAACATAATGATGGAAAGGGCACAGCGTCGCGCTTTTCTCGACACGAGAAATTGTATTGCGGCGCGTCTCGAAATACAGGATGAGAATGAGAAGCTCGAGCGTTTGCTTTTGTCCGTTTTGCCCCAGCACGTGGCCATGCAGATGAAGAACGACATCTTGTCACCAGTGGCCGGCCAATTCCATCGCATCTACATACAGAAGCATGAGAATGTGAGCATCCTCTTTGCAGATATTGTCGGCTTTACGGTACTCTCGTCTCAGTGCAGTGCACAGGAGCTGGTGCGACTCTTGAACGAGCTCTTTGGACGGTTCGATCAGCTGGCGCATGTAAGTGTGGGATTGGCTCCCTTGCCTATCATTTAAGTCCTTTGTATGGGAAGGGTGAAGCATGTTATATATTTGATCAGCAAACACGAGACGACTCGATACAGACATGTTTCTCTGTCTGTCTGTTCTTTCGTTTGCTCTCTTGTTCGACTGTATGAACCTCGATAACTTTTGAATCATAGCAGCCATGGACATTGGAGTTGACGTGTAGACTTCTCTTATACTTATGCAGAACAAGTTTTTCACAAATCCGTAATTGCTTCATTATAAGCTCACGTTTCATTAAGATCCGTCTGCCATATCGTATAGTTACCACAGGAATAATTGACACTAAATTAGTTCAAACCATTAACTTTTTTGGTTTATCACGACAACATAAAGTTGATGAACACTCTCTTTTTCGTAAATTACTCCCAAGTTGTAAATAATGGTATATTATAAATATTTGTATTGCAGGACAATCATTGCCTACGCATCAAGATCTTGGGGGATTGCTACTATTGTGTCTCTGGGCTGCCGGAACCGCGCAAGGATCATGCCAAGTGTGCTGTGGAAATGGGACTGGACATGATTGATGCCATAGCGTAATGAGACCCCTTTTTCTCTGTCTCCTGGTCTACTGCAATGCTTGTTTTTATTTTCCAGGACCGTTGTGGAGGCCACAGATGTCATACTGAACATGCGTGTGGGCATTCATACGGGTCGAGTGCTCTGCGGGGTCCTAGGTCTGCGCAAATGGCAGTTCGATGTCTGGTCCAATGATGTGACGCTGGCCAATCATATGGAGTCGGGCGGGGAGCCAGGACGCGTGCATGTAACTCGCGCGACCCTGGACTCGCTGTCCGGTGAATACGAAGTGGAGGCAGGACATGGGGACGAACGCTCCTCCTATTTGCGGGACCATGGCGTGGACACGTTCTTCATTGTGCCGCCGCCGCATCGGCGCAAGGTCAGAACCCTCTCTCATTATTATTATTGTCTACCCCTTGAAGCAATTAGTGCTAGTGGACGTAGTTGCTCATTGGCATCCTGTTTTGTTTTCTTTTTCCTTTTTCGTGTCTCTCTTACAGCCATTAATGCTAAGCACGCTAAGCGTACGCTCGGCCATCGGTAGTCGCCGCAAACTCTCATTTAGAAACGTTTCCAATGTGGTCATGCAGCTTCTTCACACCATCAAGTTCTCAGAGCCAGTGCCGTTCTCCAACATAGCCACCGGCTCGTTTCCACCGTCGGCGGGCAGCGGCGTTGTTGGGGCACGTGGCAGCACAGCAGATGCCTCCGCTGCCAGCGTTCAGGTGGCAGAGAAGGGGCTACGAAAGGTAAATTCAAATCACATTCTCACCCAAACGCCCACAAATACAAAAGTAAAAACAAAAACAAAATAAAAGACTAAATAGAAGCACACAGATGAGCTCTCCTAGCCTAGCCTAGCCTAGTATTAGTAGTTTAGTTTTGCATGTCCAGCGAGTGAGTCCCAGGCTTGGATGACCGCCAGCCAATCGGTCAAGGCTATGGGGACCACCAACACCCACACACACCTACTATATATATACTTATAATATATACAAACATTTGGCATTTGGTTTCGTTTTCAATTTCATTTGTCATTTTCATTTCGCCCCATTCGCTTCGGTTTCTTATTGTTTTGATTTGCTTTTGGTTTGTTTTGTTGCCGATTTAGCGATATAGACAAAGTATTTTATCTGCCAGGGACGGTTTTTTCTCAGGTTTTTTCTGTAATTGCTAAAAACAAAAAAAACACTCGAAAAGAAACTCGAATTTCTGCCACTGCTGCGTATTCTTCTTATGATTTCTTTCGTTGATTTCTTTCTTTCTGTTCGTTTATTTACAGGATGCGGTAAGTGTGCCTCTCGCTTTTCCTCAACTAACATACATACTCACATGACATGCATACATACTATATACAAGTATACAATACATACATACATCAAACATTCTCGTGCTGGCTCCAAATTTCTCTCCAATGAGCCCTAACTATACACCACTCCCACCCCATCATATACAATACTATATATATCTACTTTACCACTTTCAAACATAAACTTATATTTACTATACGAGAATATATAAACAGTTCAGTATTGTCTGTATTAACAATTAGCGTAATACTCGTATGTACAAAAAAAAGAAAGAAGAAGAACATCAACAACAACAACAACAACAAAACAAAAAGCGTTATTTTCTTTCCGTGCGTTTGCATAAATGTTGTGCGTTTATTGTGTAAATTACAAATTTGTAAATTGTTAACTAAGCTTTTCAAAATCAGCAGCCAATTGTTCAGCAGCGTTGTATATTCTTCAGTCCCTGCAGTCCCCGCCGAACAGCTAAACGGTCAGACACGCAAATATTTTGCTCACAAATTACAGAAATAAGTATTACGTATCCTTGGTTGGGTTCCAAGGCCGAGCCTTTATACTCGTAGCAATCGTAGTAATCCGGTATTCAATCAAATAGAAATCTGATTGTTCCTCTAGCATATACATACATATACTATATAAAATGGGAGGCTAGGAATAATATCCAATTAGTTTTTAATACTATCTTCACTGAAAAGAGTTCAATAATATCTTATTTTATTGAAACAATTTCCTATGCATGATACGGCATTCCAATTTTCTTGTCCAATTTGGTTCAGATACTTTACAAACAAAACACACTTCTGTCCGATCGTTCTTATGGCAGCAGTATGATCTAGCTCTCCGGTTTGGTTCAAATTGAATATTATGTCCCAAGAATATGTATAGCCTTGGCTTAGCTTTAGAAACAAGGAAGTTATTGATAACTCGGTGGATCGTTCCTAGATAGCTATATGATATAGTAGTCCAATGTGCGCTACTTGGAATAATTAATTGACTAGTATGGCTAGTATGGAAACAGAAGACTGGAAGTTTCTACTATCTGTATCGAGTCGAGGGCTCAGCCACGCCTACTCCAACCTGTTAACCATGGCTGACAATATGATGCCATTTTTTTTGATAAGAAATTTTCTTATACTTCGCATGGCCTATTGCTCGCATTCGAATTGAATGAGTTTGTATGCAGATTGTTTGCCAGTCTGACCGCAATTAAGCTGTTGTGTCTTTTACATTTGTGAAATATTTGACCTCATAACTTAGATTGTTACTTGCTTTTATTTTTGTTAACCTATATCTATCTACAATCTATTTATATCTATACCTTGCCATATTATCTATAAACCATACCATGCCATACTATATGATATACTGTACTATATACTATTCGATATATACTATACCATACCATACTATACTACACTATACTTATGCGTATGTATATGAAATATATATGCATATATGTTGTTCTTCGATTTAGGTAATGCGTCTACAAAAAATTTTACACGCTACCCCGCTACCGCTTGTCGTTGGGGTTGGTGTTGGTGGTGGTGGAGGTGGAGGTGGTGGCGGCGGTGGTGGCGGTGGCAGTGGCGGGGGCAGCGTCCAAGTGACAGTAGGCTCAGACCCCAATTCAACAGCGAGTACGATTAGTCGCATACATAGGCACAATCACAAGAACAAAAAAGTGAGCAGAGCAGCTAAAAAACAAATGATTTATTTCCATTCTGTTGACTCGTTTATGTCGATCGTTTGTTCATCCTTAATTGTGCTTTCTTGTGCTCGTCCTTGCTAATGCTCAGTTGTGTTCCTTTCTTTTCTTCGCTCGTTTGCTTGAAATGTTTTCGATATTATGGAATCGTTTCTATTTTGCAATGGCTTTCCTAATCAGCCACTGGCTTCTATATTAATTCTACTTTTCTTTTCAAATAAAAATAAAAACCATCTTATTCCTACATTTGTTGCTATTATTTTGTATTATTGCAATTTCTTTCGATATCGCCTTACGCAGTCATCATAGATTATGTTAATAGCTTAAGTGCCACTCAGGGTTCATATATTTTTTTTATCAGAACTGTACATATCTACTGTCTTGTATTCACGATGTCAATTTGTATAGCCAGTACCTCAGAGGTGAAAGTGTATACTATGTAGAAGGAGAGGGCAGAAAGAGGTGTGGCAGACCCCATGTTGCAGGTATATATTTATATAGTCGTATGTGATCAGCGTGACGAGACAATCGATGGTTCATACTTCGTACTCCTGTCCAATTGTATAAACTCCAAGACCTCTTAAATCATAATCTGGTAAGAGCAGGTTTATTGCAAATCATACATGCATATAGCCGTGGAAAAAACATTTTTTTTTTTTTTAAAATAGAAAAGGACTTATGGGTACAACAAACTTTATTTTAGTTGAATGTTTGCAACCGGAAAAAGGCTGGGTACAGAGTATTTAAGAGTTGAGATGACACGACTTCAACGTTATAGCTTGTCTTTAATTAGATACAAGTATTATTTATAGAGGAACTAGGTACTTAAGAACCAGTCGCGTGCAATCACATAACATATAAGTAAGCTAATTCTTCTTTTCTTTTTTAACATATCTGTTGCATTATTATATTATTTTAGTCTTCTTGGGTAGTTTGGGATGTTTTCTTGATTTTTCTTTTAGAAATGTGCTAAAACCGACGCCAACCGATGTTTGCAATGCATGCAATTTATCAATTTTAGATTTAAATGTTTTCTAGTTTTTGAAGTAGAATATTTCAGTATTACATTGGCTGTATGCAGTGTTTGGAAGTTTCCATCAACACTACCCTTACCTATGTAGTAAATGAATGCCTATTCGACGTTCTCTTATCTTACTTATTATACGTAGCGCAGACAGGCAAATCATTTGCACACAAATTTGTGGTATATTTTTTTTTTTTTTGGTAAAAAGATTTCTTGTTGTGTAGCATTGTTTCTTGTTCAAGTTTGCATGAGTTTGTGTGCAAATAATTTGCCTGTGTGACCATGACTTTAGTCGCTCTGAGGATTTGCCATTTTGTTAACTGATAGCTGTTGTCTTCTAATCCCGTTTTTACGCATAACTTTTGCAACTTTTTGAAAACACACATAGGTGTTCAGCAACAGTGTAACAACAGTTATATTTAATCAGCATGAAATTTGTGTTCCATACTCAAACACACACACACACACACATATATATATATACTCCCATACACACACACACACACACAGTTATTAAATATACAAATGTATGTACGAGTATGTGTCTAGATCAATAAAATGAAAATTATAAAGCTGCAATTTGCATTTCTAAGCGAGTCCATCCAATTGGTGTTGCTGCAATTTTGCCTTCAAGCACAATCAAGAAAACAGTTTTGAAATCGGTACCCATACATACATAGTATATATAGTACATACGATTACATGCCATCTCCCCTCCAAACACTACCTGCACACGCCACAGAGAGTGGCAGGCATTCACATTTCCAGTCAAATTTGGGAATAGGAAGTCTTACACAATTTCTGAACTGGAAATGTGAATGCTGCTCAGTAGTATCACAACCGGTACACAACAGTATCCAGTACTTTCTTCGATTTTCCCACACACACAACATAAGCATTCAATAGTCGCAGGAGCAGGAACAATTAGAGAAAGAACTAATCCGTTTCAATTTAATATCTGTTCTCGCACTTCCCACCTACAATATGCGCCATCTCCCCCATCCTGCGACTCTGTGCAGTCGTCCAAGGTGGCCGACAAATTCAAGCGACCCTTCCGTAAACGACACTCGGTGGCGGCCCACCATCAGCCCACCAATCGGGTCAATCGTTTCCTCTCGCAGGCCATCAATGCACGGTCCGTGGACTGCGACAAGTCGGAGCATGTCGACAGGCTGACGTTGCGCTTTCGCCAGAGCGATAAGGAGCGCGAATACCACAAAGATTTCGACTTGGGCTTCACCACAGCCATGGGCTGTTCCCTGCTGTTGCTCATCCTAGGCGCGGCTTTGCAAGTTACGGCCTTGCCACGCACCCTAATTCTGCTGCTGCTCTTTCTGACCGCCTTCATTTGGGTGAGCGCCATTCTAATGCTGCTGCTGGCGGTACGCCTCAAATGGATTATATGGGACATATCCGAAAGCTTCACTCTACGCATGGCCATCACGATTTTCACGATCATACTTATATACTCCGTGGGGCAAGTAAATGTGGTAAGTAGACGATGAGTTGTTTTAGACCAGCCGGACAGCCTTTAGTGGCCCTCCATTGCAGTTCACGTGCGTGTCCGACCATCCCTGCTCGAGCAATGGGACCATTGGCACGCTGCCCAGCAAGGATCAGGACTTTATGCAGATCGAGTCACATCGGAAGTGCTCGTTGCCACAGTATGTCTCTCTCTCCGCAGCGTTTGCTTTTCTCTCCGTGTCCGTCTTTCTCAGGTGAGTGGAAATTCCTGCGGGTGGTGGGGTAATTTTTCTACATCCCACTTCTATTTTTTTTATAGACTTCCTATCGTTTTTAAGTCGCTGCTGGTGCTCGGCATGGGCATTATTTATGGCCTCTTCATTGAGCTTTCGCATCAAAATATCTTCGAGTGCTACGACAGTCGTGTCAAGTAAGTCTCTTCCTCCCCTCCCTTTCTCCCACAATGGCAAGAATCCGAACGAGCCTGTGTTGTTACCATTTCAGCGCTTCCATTCCGCTCCATTTGATCTCATTGGCGCGCATTGTCATCTTTATGATTGCAATTTTGGTGCACGGCCGGATGGTGGAGGGAACGGCACGGCTTGACTTCCTCTGGCAGCTGCAGGCCTCACAGGAGAAGAAGGAGATGGACGTATTGCAAGAGTCCAATAAGCGTATTCTGCATAATTTGCTGCCCGCTCATGTGGCTGCACATTTTCTCGATGCACAATTTCGCAACAACATGGTAAGACAACATAAAGGGTGTGCCAACTAGAGGTGTTGGACTGGAAGGCTAGTTGGTTGACAGTTATCAGATATCGATATTTGTGATCGATGATAAGCTTAGGAAATATAAATCATTCAATCAAGAAGATTCTGAGCTCCACGGAACTGGCTCAGCATGACATTAAAAGGACTTTGGCTTTCGTTCCCAACACTTCAACTCAACACCGTGCCTAAGAACTTGAACCCTTCACGTCCTCACTGTATCGGCAAGCAATTAATTGGGACCCGAGATGGCGCATTTTAAAACGAAACGATCTCTACTTCCACTCGAGTCGCAAAAAATATCTTTCGTTTTGGAAGCAACAGCTGACCACCACTGTTGGGTTTCTATCTTTGGATAAGCTTTACATCCTATTCATCCGCCAAATAGAGGCCTAATTGTACAAAACAGTAATCGAGAATTTCGAAGTAGAGTTCTCAATTGTACCCTACACCACTTGTTGAAGCACCCTTTACATATTTGTTTGCACAAACCTATAATGTAATTTCTTTCTCGTTTGCTGCTGTAGGAGCTATACCACCAAAGTTATGCCAAAGTGGGCGTCATCTTCGCCAGTGTTCCTAACTTCAACGAGTTCTACACTGAAATGGATGGCTCCGATCAGGGACTGGAGTGCCTGCGTCTGCTTAACGAAATTATTGCGGATTTCGATGAGGTAGGAAAGACGTTTACATTTATATTAGCTGCCGAGCTCTATTTTTTCTACGTCGTATTTCGTTAAACACTTTAGCTGCTTAAAGAGGATCGCTTCCGAGGCATCGACAAAATAAAGACCGTGGGCAGCACCTACATGGCAGTGGTGGGCCTGATACCAGGTAAGCATCGCACCGTTATTTCTTCTCGTCTCCCTACATCACCCACACTTTCGTATTCCCTTCTCAGAGTACAAGATACAGCCCAACGATCCCAATTCGGTGCGTCGACACATGACCGCTCTCATTGAATATGTCAAGGCGATGCGTCTGTCTCTTCAGGAGATCAACAGTCACTCATATAACAATTTTATGCTGCGCGTGGGTAAGTAATTCATGAAATAGGTCTGTAGACGATGCTCGTACATCTTCAACCATTCCTATAAACCAGGAATCAATATTGGACCCGTAGTGGCGGGGGTAATTGGAGCGCGGAAGCCTCAGTATGACATCTGGGGCAACACGGTCAATGTGGCAAGTCGCATGGACTCGACTGGCGTACCTGGCTACTCACAGCTAACCCAGGAGGTGGTGGATAGTTTGGTCGGTTCGCACTTTGAGTTTCGGTAAGTTGCGTTTAACGCATTAAAGGTCTAGCGGGATATACTTGTACTTGTATGATTATAATCTCTTCATGAGATGCAACTAGGATATTAAGTGCTTTTAACCAAGAGTCTAAAATTGTTGTCCTCTTCTTACAGCTGCCGCGGCACGATCAAGGTGAAGGGCAAAGGCGACATGGTCACCTATTTTTTGTGTGATAGCAACAGCAATGCGCTGAAAAGCGAAGTGCGCAATGCGATGATATCGAGTCGGCCAGCGCCGAATTCGAAAGCCCAAGACACCCAGGCGCTACAGATGTACGCACACCCCACAGAGTATTATCAGAAGAATACTGGGTTCGGTGACAAGAGCTTTCACAATGTTAACATGGACACCTACAGCATTAATAAGGAGAATAGTTTGGGCAATGGGGACGGTGGAAGTATGATGATGGCCAGCGAGGAGCAGCAGCTGCTGCCCAAGCACCAGCAACAACAACAGCAGCAGCAGCAATCAGTTCCCCAGTACCATCATCTACATCAGCAACAGCAGCAGCGACTGAACAGCAAATTCCAGAAGCAGCCCAACTTCATTGCCAATGGTGGTCTGCCGAATATACGAGAGAATGGTAACCACAATGGCGATCACCATGGCTCGGAGTGCGGCAATTATCAGCCTCCGGCACCCTACACCGGCAGCACCAACTATGGACGCGGCTATGCGCCATTGCAGCATAATAATCACCAGCAGCAGCAGCAGCATCAGCAGCATCAGCAGCATCAGCGCTCGCTGTCCTTCAGTTCGATGGGAGCGTGTACAACAACAGCAGGACATAACTCCGGTTCTGGATCCCCACCAGCCCTGATAGCAATTGCACCTCAGTACCAACACCAGCACCAGCTTGAATTCCAAAACGAACTCCAATTAAAGCAGCAACTACAACTACAACAGCAACAACAACAACAACAAGCACCTCAACCCATTCCTCTGGTAACGTTGCGAGAACAATTTAATATTATTGAAAACCCCAGTGGTAAGCAGCAACAGCAGCAGCCCCCCAACTATGGCGGCAGATTTCATGCCAGTGCTGGGCCAACGCTGGGTATGGGTGTGGGTTTTGGTGTCGGTGCCGGTGTCGGTTTCGGTGTCGATGTGCCCGACATAACTGGTGGCATGGCGTTGAGGCACGATATGCATGCATCCCCCGTGGGCGTTGGGGCGCGCAATTTCATGACACCATCGCTGCAGCATGGCCAACTTAACCAGCCTCAGTTCCACAAGCATTCCCATCCACATCCGCATCCGCTATTACATCATCTGCATCACTCACATCAACCTCAAGCATCTCAGCCATCTCAGCCATCTCAACCATCGTCATCGTCGTACAGCATGAGCGGCAATCTGAGCTTAAATTATGGCAACTGCCGCGAAAACGAGCCGCTATTGCATGCCAACGCCGGTGCACCGGTGGCCAAGGTGAGTGATATCGACTTGATGTTGTGGAGCAAGGAGATACTCCTTTAAATGTCCCCCCCTCCGAGACTTAGATCATCATAGATACCATACATAGCGTGCGCCCAGCTGCCATGACAGTGGTTTTGAGGTTCTTTTCTTTTTTTTAACGTTCGTTCGGTCCACCAAAACCCTAGTAGTTCCGACCACACCACACCAGCTGCTACCATATATATCCAACCACAATCCATCACATCTATCCGACACTCCACCTGCTCTGCGGATCGTGTAACTAATTAATGTCTAACTCTATACTCTTTGCATGAACACACCCCCCGCCTTATCTGTATCTGTATTTAACTATATCGTATATCTCTCGCTCTCCGTCCACATGTCTCTCTCTCTCTCTCTCTCTCTCTCTCTCTTACTCTTGCTCTCTCTCTCTCTCTCTGTGTGTGTGTTTAACTCTGCACGTCAAAGATAATACCAATGCAGCATGCGCCAAAGTATGAGCCACCTCGTTACACCTGTCCCAACTCCATGTTGTCACTGCAGCAGCAGAACCAAAAACACCAGCAACTACTACAGCATCAGCAGCAGCAGCAGAAGGCATCCCTGCACTACCAACCGACACAACATCAGCAGTACGCGCTTTACTCGCAGCAGCCACCGCTGCCCGTGTTGCCACCTAAGCCCGCCTCCACCGTTTCCACCGACGCTGCCAAGCACCATACGGCGCCGCAGCGCAACTGCAATTACTTGAAGCCGTTGCCAAAGCTGCCCACCGAAATGGAAGAGAGCCGCGATATGTCGTCCAACGATGATCTCAGCTCGCGTCCCCACTCCCCTTCCATGAGTTCCTCCGATGAGAGCTACTCGAAAACGACTGAGGGCGAGGGGGAAGGAGACAGAGACTCACCTCGGGTAGGCAGCACTCATCTGCAGCGCAGTGTGCTCCCAAGCATGCCAAATCCAAATCCACTGCAATGGCTCTATCCCTGCGACATACAGGTTGATCTCGATGCCACCTCGCCCGTAATAAACATTAACAACCTGAAGGATTACGAGGTGAGCTCCACAACGGAGAGCCACGGCCAGCTACCAACCACAAGTAGCATGCAACATAAGGGTGGCAGCTTTGACTATGAGAGTGCACCACACAAAGCGCTGGTGGCAGCGGCAGCCGCTGCAGCAGCCTCAACTTCGGTCAAGTCACCATTTGAGAGGGAATTACAAAGACTACTAAATGGCTCGGCCCGCACACGACCCGGCGTACCAACGACCTCACCAGCGTTATGTGGTGATGGCAATGCAACCACATCGGCCTCAGCCGACGGCGCTGACCTCACGGGCAACCACAGCAGCAGTCGCCCCAACATGGAACTTTGCTACTCGGCCAGCAACAGCAAGCTCAGCTCCACCAATGGAGTGACGGCGGCTAGCAGCAACGGGAATCTCAGTGGCGGCAGCAATTCAATTAGCGGAAACAATAACCACAAGACGACCAGCACGACATCCATTATGGATGACCTAATGTCGCCCACAAGTGGCACCAGCGGTGTTGGGGGCAGCGTACGACATCCTTCTGGCTCCAAAATAGCGTCCAGCACCAGCTTCATGATATCCAAGCATCCTGTGGGCCTGGAGGCCATCAAAGAGATCACGCGCAACAAGAATCCCTCAGAGTCTAGTCAAATGTAAATATCCCCCAATATATAACCATATTTCAATCACTCAATCAATCATTTGCAATTGCAGGCAGACCTCCGACACTGAATCCTGTGAGATTCTGCACGAGCAGCAGCAGAATTCGCTAGCCATGCTGGATCTGGGCGGACCCGGTGTCGGTTTTATGCTCAAGGAGCACAACCACCATCGCGTGCACAGACAGCGACCGCGCTCCAAGGAGCTCAATCACAGTCATGAGAGTCTGGAAATGTTGGACGGTGGCAATCGTTTCGTGCGACACCACCACCATCATCAGCAGCAACGCGCTCGCTACAATCACGCCGACTATGGTGATCGTGATGATACTGAGGATAACCTAGCCGATGAGGAGTTCGAAGATGACGAAGTGGGTCGCGACGTGTTTCATAAGAGGTCGGAAAGTATTTCCAAACAACAGAGCGAATGCAAAGCATCCAAAGATGAGGATAACGCGCACGAGGAACTCGAGGACGACGATGACGACCAGGACCACCAAGTCGGGGACGTTGCGAAGGCATACAATAATGATGCCCATTTACACAACGGCCAACGGCACGACGCCGACAGCGTGGCGCTGCTCAACAACGTGGCCTCGCGTCTCGAAGCGAATGTGATAAATGATGAGCTGAAGTACGGCGCACCACATCATAACCATCAGTCCATGGACTCTAATCCGCTAGAGAGTCAATCGGAGTGGTCAGACGATGATTGCCGCGAGGAAGCCACGGGTGCGTACTTAGTCTTCCAATAATCACTCATTTCAAAAGCTTATACTAAGAAGTCTGAATGTAATGGAACGATTGAAAAATGTGTAAAGTGCAAAAAGAGGTGTGTCAGATAATGTCTTGAAGGCCAGCTTGTCTCCCTGTTTGACTGTACGAGCTTCAATAACTTTTGATCCATATCAGCTAGCGATAACTAACAAATTACTCCTAACAGGCTACTTTTTTCTGTTTGCAAGAATATCTTAAGCAAATCTTACCGGGTATACAGAAGTTGGTTTGGCACCTCCCTAACACTCTACTCCTTTTCCTTTTTTCAGGTGGAGCCGAATCCACTGGCTATATTACAGACGAGCCCGGTCTGGAAAACATTTCCTTGTTGAACGAAGCCGGTCTAACTGACGCTGAGGGCGCTCTCTCCGATGTTAACTCGCTATATAATGCGCCCGATGTGGACGACACATCGGTTTCCAGTCGAGCCAGCTCGCGTCTTCTCAGTCTCGATTCACTGAGTGGACTCTATGATTGTGATTTGGACTCCAAGCACGAGCTGGCCATTGTAAATGCCTCGCACAAAATTACCAGCAAGTTTGGACCTCAGCAACAACAACAACAGCAGCAACAACAACAGCAATAGCTAGAAACCTCAATACTGAACTGTACTTAAATGATTTGCAGAAAACTTATTTCCATAAGTTTGTGTGCAAATTATTTGCCTGTCCTAAGCTGGAGCGCCATAGACAAGGGTCGCTGGGTCGTTGAAGACCTCAGCCCCCAAACATTTAAACATTCAATGCAAAATGAATGATTTTAAAAATTGAAAAACGAATTAAACCGAGTTTATTTCAAAAAGAAGTTAATATGAAAATATATAGGAAATAGGTAAAAAGAAAAATGGAAAAAATGTGCAAACAAAATCAAAATTAGTTTAAAGTTCGGTATCTCAATGTTAACTCGAAACCTACTTATTATTAAAACGATAATTACATGAATACATCATACACCTATGTATGTATATCTGCACTTTTAAGGAGGATGTGAAGTTTAACTAAACGCATACTAATGATGTTGTACCATCTGATTTAAGATATTATGGTAATTTGTAAGCAAAAGTAACACTCTTAAGTTTAAGTTTATGCTTTTAAGATATGCGTATCTTAAGAGGCAGGTAGATCTTTTTTTTTGTATATTAGTGGCATATGTATGTATGTATATCTCTAAGAATATGTATGTACTTATGTATGTATATATGTAAAAATAAATAATAGAGCGTACAGAGTTGGCTTTAGTCTGTAGAATGTGCTAGATCCATGCCTTTGCGAATATGCCTTTTGTTGGTATTACGTTTATTTTTATACCCTGTACTCAAAGGGTCAAAAGGGTATACTAGTTTAGTGCGAATGTGTGTAACACACAGAAGAAGTCGCAAGTCGATATAGCGTTTTGATAGCAACTGTCCGTCTGTATGAGCTAAATGATCTCGGGAAGTAGAAGGGCTACATTAACACTACTGGGTATCTATGTTCCCCAAAGCCTTAGGCAGATAGAGTTTTGTTTTTTGCACTCCCCGCTCCCGCGCTCTAAGGGATTTTCCAGAATCCCCTCAAGGCTTGCAATTTTTAATTTGAATTTATGTTTTTTTTTTTAATATTATTTTTTTGAATTGGGTACAGGGTATTTAAGAGTCCGATTTTAGCATTCCATTCATGTTTTGTTTTATCTCTTGGTTTAAGGTATAGGCACAGAATAATCCATTTAGGTGACTTCTTCATAATTGATATTTATATCTGGCAATAATTGAATATTGACAAGCTTGTTATTTGAAATAAAAAAGATTTAAGTGTCAAAGCAACACCTATATATACCATAAAATACATTAAAATGGCGAAACTATAAAGAACAACAATTGATTCCAAATAATTGATGTAGGCTGTAAAATGTAGAAAAAAGTACATCTTATTGTGAACGAATTTATTAATTATGGATCAGTGAATATTATTTAAGTGGACTTTGTAAGCACAAAACAGCTGAATACATGCTTCATTTTTTTCTAAAAGGGTAGATCGTGTAGGAGTTGGGCAGCTTCCACTAAGTCTATGCGTCTGTACGAATGTCAAGATCTCAAAAAGTTTGCGAGCGAAAACCGTTAAGCTTGGCAAAACGGCCAACTAATTCTTGGTATACCCTGCACCCAAATCTTGAGGCTCTATTAAAAAGTCTGAATACACCCATGCTATAGCTATATATGTTTGTGTATTTGAACAGCATTATGATATAGCCATGTCCGCCTTTCTGTTCGTTAGCTTTTCTGTCTGTATGTATGAACTCCGGGATCTTTTAAATCAAAACCGAAATGAACATCAAAATTGGCATGCATACTCGTAATTTGCTTATACATATGCAGAACAAATTTACTACAAGCTACATATAGTATATATAGCATAGTATATAGCTCCATTATTTTATAAAGCTGCATAGGAGGGATTGGTGCAAAAGTCAATTTTATAGATACAGCTGTTAAAAACATTTTTACCGAATTTGAAATTTGTAAGTGTTATTTATTAATGTGCCACCATACTCAGAAGTTCTATGCACTATATATCAAAGGTCCTACAGGAAAAATCGAAGAAATATTACTACCATCAAGCTTGAACTGTGGCGAGAAGAGGAGCCGGTACAAGAGTCTTGACATTCTATTAATTTTCTCATTGTTAGTTTCCAGGGGGTAAAGGGTATGCAATAGTCGTGCCAAGCCAGATATAACACCACAAAAAAAGTCCAAAAAAGAGACATATCGTTTGGTCTGTTGACTTCGACACTCATTGTTCGCACGCTGCGTAAACAAAATAAAGCGTATACAAATTTAGAAATCTGACAAGTTCTTTAATTTCCCCATCCGTCGATAAATCAATCGCTTTTTCGCAGATTATCTTTAATTAAATTCATTCACTTTCTCTCAGAGTGGTGGGGTTTGATAATGGGTTTCAATAATCGGAACTGGTGCCTCTGCTTTATCAATATTCGGAAAGCTAAAGCTAAACTAAAGTTTTGATAACGCAACTCATCTGAGACTTATAGAAATGATTTTTTGAAAATTGCAATTGCTGATTCGATTCGCAGCGAAAGTTATTGGAAATTAAAATAAAATAAATTAAATAAATATTGATATTATTATTATTATTATTATTTTTATTTTTTTTTATGCCAAACGTGCCACTCAAAAAATATGGCTTTGAGCTTCTTTTTTTGCACAAATTTCGAATACGTATGTATATTTCGTGGCGCTTCATAGATGTGGCTAATATCTTTAAAAAAGTATTGTATGTATAATTAATTAAATTAATTGCGTAACATTATTAAGTTAATTATGGAAACAATGCACCATTTCTAGTTTGTATAACAAATTCGCTTCATTCAATAATATATTTATGAAATAATGGCTTGTGAGATGTCTGCGTTGCATATATTTGCACAAAATATATACATAAATATATATTTATATATAAACTGTATCTGTAACCCAAAAATATGAGCATAAGTACAGAGTTGAAGAGAAAAGAAATCACAAAACACACATATTTTTGTGCATATAAATATATGAATAATTCAAATTCAAATAAAGCCAAAAATAAACAAAGCAGCAGCAAGCAAAAATAACTAAATAGATGTGTGCAAGAAAGCGTATTATTATTAATATTATTATTAAGCAAAGCATTGTTTAAATATTTCTGTTTTCAAAACTAAATTATTGAAAGAAAAAAACACAATTCGCTAGTTCCAACACAAACAAATACTTAAGAATATGTATATATATATACATGTGGGTTTGCAGAAATTGCTCATGAGCAGATTTGGAAATGGGTTGCTCATGCTCACTTCTGCACATTGCTCAGTGCTCACTTGAGCACACGCAACCGATTCATAAACTTGTCACCCGCCTTTGTTTGTGAGTTGCCGTGTACGAGCAGAATGTGAACCATGGTTTGTGTATACAATATAGTATATATGTATGTATGTATATTTGTGTGTATGTATGTATGTATGTATGTATGTATGTGTAAGTAAACGATATTAAAAATATTTAATTTAACTAATCAAGAGCTTAGCAATGAGTAAGTGAGCAAGAAAGTAGAAAATAATGAATTAAATCAAAAATTTTTTTTGCCAGAAATGCAAAAATGACTAGAGAGTATATATACTTAAGCACGCGTACTTACCCTTTGAATGGCATATCAATGATAAAAGATATTAACACAAAATTTGAAAACAAATATTCGAAAACAAATAAAACATACTTGACTATGAAACCTCTATTGTATATACACATATACATACATGCATACATATGTATGTATGAGCAGATATATAACTATATATATATATATATATATACATATGAATATTATATACGATACTTATAACCCAACAGAAAGTGTTTGCTGTAAATCACATATGGGTCACAACCGACTTACCCTATATAAATAAATATACATATATACAAATATATATTTGTAAAAAAGGTTGTTAAAATGAGAAAATACATTCTTATTTAGCCTCGTAAACGTTTTGGTGTGTTTTTTTGAGATAGTCCCAGCTCCTAAAAAGAGGTTTCAGGCTTTTATCGACCGACCTCTTTCCAGTAATGATCAACCAGGGGCTGCTCTTTGAAAAACGTTCCATAAGTTCAAAATCGTGTGGCTTGATTACCGATTCGACTTCTATCTGTCGAGGTACTTGAAATATATTTCATATATTTGAAAAAAGTTCCCATTTAGCCGCCCAAATGGATATGAGTGTTTTATTCAGATAGTCGAAGCTTATGGAAAGAGGTTTCAGGCTTTTATCATCGACCTCTTTTCAACGCCTTGTGAACGCGACCTACTCGTAAATATTTAGTCATATGTTTGGATCTAGCCGCCTGGTGATCGATACCAAAGTGTTGGGCTCGTTTTCGCCAATAGTAGGCCCTTTCTAAACGCTACCCTGAGTTATTTTATATGTCATCACGAAAAATTTCTAATTTAATATTTAATTTCTCGCGAAGCTATATCGGGGCTATGGAAACGTGCTCCGATTTAACCGTTTAACATTATGTGTTTATAGTTCTACTTATGTTGTGTCTTTATTCGAAAATTTATAATATTTACCATTGAACCCATTGGGTAAATACTTACCTCGTGTGTTTGCTTTTCTTTCCATCGCTAAAAATAAATGTTAAGAGCGGCTTCTCTCCATTCTCTAAACAGTAAGAGAAACTTGCACTTGGTTTTGTTGTTGCTTGGCTCCTAAAAATAGTAAAAAGTTATGACATTGAAAAGCTATGTCTGCGTTTTTTCTTTACTTTCGACACTAATTGTGTGACTATGACAAGCTGGCATAGCGACATATCTCCGGCGACATATCTCCGACATATCTGCGCGGGGATATGTCGCTTTTAGACATTTGACGCTTTCCGTATCTCCGCCTTACTAAAAACGGTCTATCTCCGATCGGAACTATGTCGTTTTAGAGTGTCATAATTTAGTTTGGAGATAAGCCGAGATAAGTCGCTATGGCTGACAAGGTATATGTACAAGTAATATAAGTTAAAAATTGAATTCTTAAAAAAAAACAAGAAAGGAATGCTAAAGTCGAGCAGGCTCAACTCTTAAATACCCTATACCACCCCACAAAAAAGTAATTAAATCGCTTAAAGAGATGACCAAACGAAGAAAGAAGACTAAAAAACAAAGTCTAATCATTTTGGACTTGGTCTTTCATCGTAAAGCTTGATCTTTCATCGAAAAATTTGGATCAGGAAGCGTTTTCTCAGACCAAGTGTACCGTTTGCTGCCTCAGCTAGCTGTGGACAATTATCGCTTTCTGGCGGGCATTGACATAGCTTCCGATTATTTGCCATATCCACATCTGTTTTAAAGTAAAAAGCCAAACAAATACTCGTATGTGAATATCATTGCATCATTTGAAATCTACGTCAGTCGTTTAGCAAATACCGATTGTAGACCAACTGTGCATACGGTCAACAAATCTGTCTGTCATCTCCGACATAGTTATATTGCAATCCTGAAGTTCCTGTGGTTCTCTGTAATATTGGCTGAGTCAGCGCTTGCTTTGGATTTGATTTCTTTTTAAGAAAGGTACAAAGAAGCTACAAAAACAATCCAGCTAGTTGTCTCTATGTTGAGAGAGCGGAAACATAACATTTCTACTTATAGAGTACTTTCTTTTCATTAGCATTTCATAAATCCAGACTTTCCAATTCACAAATACCCAAGAAACAATGTCAGCGAACAATAAAGGACAGGGATTGTCGCTTATTGCTGCAGAAAAGCCTATAAATAGTAATGGGAACTGCCGAAATTTCGTAAATGACTCAACTCTGGAACATGCTGCTGCACTTCTTGCTGTTGACTCTGCTTGTGGCGCTAATTGCGGCGCAGACCAACTACTGCGATCCGGAATGGTGTCGTCGCGGTTCACGGCACATAGCCTGCAACAATAATGGGGTAAGTACGAGCGAGGCACAGCCAATTGGTTCCCCCACAACTACATTGCCAAACGTAGAGCTGGCATGCAGCCTGTCCGACCAGGCCGGCACCCGTACTGGTTCCCATGACGCTGGGTCTGCGTCGCCTCATCCTAAGGGCGCACAATACGCGGCGCAATCAGTTGGCGGGCGGGAATCTGCGCGGTTTTCCGTCGGCGCTTCGCATGGCCACCATGCTGTGGGATGAGGAGCTGGCGCGGCTCGCCGATCTTAATGTGCGACAGTGCACCATGGAGCACGATGACTGCCACAACACGCCGCGGTTTAGAGCGAGTGGCCAGAATCTGGCCTATATTGCCTATCCGGGTCGGCGCCGGGCAAGAAGCGACGCCCAACTGAGTGCGCAGTGCATCGCAATGTGGTGGAACGAGCACAGAGGCGCCACCATCGCCCAGATAAACCGCTATCCAGAGATCTCAGCACGGTGAGTGGCATAATAACGCATGTGAGAATAGCCATTACTTTGATTTGTGGCCTTTATAGGGTTATTGGCCACTTCACGGCCATGGCTCAGATGAACAACACCCATTGTGGCTGTGCGGCGGCACGTTATTTGAGGAATCGTCGTAACGTCTACCTATTCGCCTGTAACTATGCTACGACCAACTGGATCGGTCGACCGGTTTATGTGGCGGGTCGCAGAGCCTCGGCCTGCAGCACGGGCAGGAATATCAATTTCCCAGCCCTGTGTAGTCTGGCGGAAGTCTACAGCGTCTAAAGAAGTTGTTTTTTAATCTTTAAGATTCACATTTGTTTATGAATAAGCACTTGTTATATGTATGTATATAAAGGGTGCTTTTTATGGATTTTTATTTGTATAATAATCTATAATCTTAAATAGATTGCATAGTTCGGGGGAGATCAAAAGGTAAAAAAAAAACTCGTGTAGCCTAGCGACTAGGAGCATCTGCATACCAAGTTTGGGGAATGTGGGTTCAACCGTCTCCAATATGCAGACTTTCATCCAGACAGACGGACAAGGCTATATCGATGCAATAGGCAATTGATATGACTTCTTTCTGTCGGAGCCAGCTTCGGTTTAGGGCTCCGAAACAAAGACGTTCTTATAACATTCTAATATCCTACAATACCAGACTTTGTGAAATAACATTTTAGCCCATATACTAAATGCAGTTACTGCACTCTTGACCAACTCCCACATATATATGCCCTTCTTCTGATATTTAAGACATACTATATGTGCTCCATATTTCCATCAGATAAGTCTTTACACATCTGCCACTTATTGACTTAATGATTGTGGCTGGAGATTTGAACCTGAGAAACATTTCTCGGCATTCTTCAATGGTTCGACCCATCCTATTTTCTAAATAGAGCATTACTTTATAGAATGCCATTAAAATTGTAAACCCTTAAATACATTTCTCAATATATGGTTTGTTTAGTGTCATTGTCTCTAGATATTTTCTAGAATAATGCTTGTGTAGCAGAGATTTATATCAATCCACTATAAAAATTTCTATTTTTTTTCTTGATTCTTTTCTTCCATCTTGTTTCACGTGTAATAAACAATCGAGATACGATCTCACACGTTCATGAAAATGGCACAAAATTTGCTCTTCATTCCAAAATAACCCTCCAAATTAATTTCTTTTTTTGGTTGGTCTAGTTCTATAACTATTAAAAACACCCTATATCACTTTGGAATTAGCAAACCCCTCATGCATCTCGTTACTCACCAGCCATTGAATAAATAGCGCATGGCAAACTGCAGCTGTGAGTTGACTTATCGTTTCGAAACATACACACCTTCGAAAGTGCCGGTACATATACAAGTATGTAGTACATTGTGTACATGAACTTCTATAGGTTTTGTAATGGAAGGTACATATGTAAAGAGATAAAGCTCCATAGTCGTGCACTCCCGACTTTGGGATACCTCCACCATACGTGCAAGTAAATGAATGCCCCTCTCCAGGTTCCCTAAAAGAGATCATACGAAGGTATAGATTTCAAAACGTGCTTTAAATATTAAAGCGTTCTTCGTTTAGCAGATAAACTTTAGAATTTCCACAATTCTTCGCGTACAAAATTTGACTTCCTTTGACTTTGACTTCGACTTCCATAAGAAACAATAAAATTCAATGGAAATTTCACAACGTGAATGCGATTTCGATTAGAATTATCAGAATTATCAAAACAAATAAACAAGACCTCTTATATACGTACTCTCAGTTACGGAGCTAGGCAAAGCGTCATACTTGGGAGGAAGGAAGAAAAACTAAGAAAGAAAACATTCAAAAATATGCCTTCTAGATTGCCGTAAAGAGATAATAAGAAGCAGTGAATTTTAATAGAAATTTCACAACAAAAAAAATGAGATTTCGATTACAAATATCAGTAGATACTTATGTAGTACGTAATCGGGTATACCCGAAATAAATAAACAAGATCTCTTATATATGTACGTACTCTCAGTTACGGAGCTTGGCAAAGAGTAATACTTGGGAGTAAGAAAGAAAAATACGCAAATATTTAAACAAATGTTCCAACAACAAATCAATTAATTCTCCGCCGAGTTGTGGGTGAGCGTTCAAATACTTCCCATTAAGTTGTGTAAGTAATTAGATAAAGCTTGAAAATAACAAAAGAAACGTCGTTCGTTGGCCATATAAAGCAGTAGCCGTCCGCTTGCCAGGCAATTGCTTTCTGAACTAATAATGAGAAAGAACACCAACTTAGTCATCATCAGCTGTGTGGTAGCGATGGCATTCGGAGTGGCTTCGGCCACCGACTACTGCGCCACCACCTGCGGTGGCACACAAAACATTGGTTGCAACAACAATGAGGTAGGTGTGGACCCCAGTGGTTACGTTAAAATATTCATCATCATCCAACTCATCCACTTCATGTTCCCTACCCAGAACTGGGACTCGGCCTGTCCGAGTGACAAGACCTTATTGGATTTGACGACAGCGGATAAGAATCTGATTGTGGCGCTCCACAACGAACATCGCGACTACATTGCTGGTGGCAATGATCCGGAACTTAATGCCGCCTGCCGCATGGCTACCATGAGGTGGAACGACGAACTGGCCTATCTGGCCTCCCTGAATGTGAGGAGCTGTGCCATGAGGCACGACGCTTGCCACAACACCGACGCCTTCAAATTTGCCGGCCAGAATCTGGCCTGGGTGGGCTTTTTCCCCCCCTTGAACGCGACCTCCAGCATCATCACCAGCGTCGACATGTGGTACAATGAAGTCTCTAACACAAAGCAGGCCTACATCGACGCCTATCCCTCCGGCTATAGTGGACCGTAAGTGTTTCCTCTTATACGAGTATGCCTATAGCTGCCATCCATCGATCTATCTATCCATCTTTCCATCTATCCATCTATCAGCACCATTGGCCACTTCACCGTCATGGTTGCCGATCGCAACACAGACGTCGGCTGCGCCGTCTCCACCTACTCTGTCAGCGGCCAGTCCTACAAGGCCTTCCTGATGGCCTGTAATTATGCCACCACCAATATTCTGGGCGTCAAGATGTACAAATCCTGTTCGAGCTCCGCCCAGGAATGCACCACTGGACGCAATTCCCAGTACAGCAACCTATGTAGCGCCAACGAGCAATACGATCCCAACAACCTCAGCTATTGAGTGACGTACTTGCCACAGTACACCCATAAGTATTCATACTTATGACAAACTTATTTGCAAACAATAAATAATACCTATCTAGAAGCTACAAATAATGATAAGAGATACCTAAATTACGTTAGCAGGAAATCGTCAGAACTCAACTTCATAATAATATATGAAGCCAAACGATAAGATCACCGATTTGCCGAGAGGGTTATCATTTATTTATAACTAGCAGGTCTTGCCCGTCTTTGCTGGGCTACGTATCTTTTGCATACAATTGATTTACTAACAGTGTGCTTATTGCCAGACGGGTTTCTAAAGGATGTAATGATATCGGAAGCCAAATTATAAGATCACCGACTTGCGGGTTATCATTTATGTAAAACTAATAGGTCTTGCTAGTCCTGATTGATTTACTATATGATAGTATATCTCTTTCGACACTGTGCTTAGTTCCAGATAGGTTTCTAAGTGAACTATCCGTTCCGAAAGATAGATAGTTACTATGTATACGTACTTACTCTTATGAACAAATATGCATATACTATATGATAGTCAGGTCAATCAAAATTGATTGATTGATTAATTGATTGATTAACTTGTGTTGATTGACATATGATTTTTAATCTAACAAGAGAGAACGAGGGAGAAAAAGATAGAGGAGGGGAAATGTTCGAGTGTGAAGAGGTGATTGGCAATTATCCAGCCCATTCATTGTAGTTGTAGAATTCGTTGCTTGAGCAGAGGTTGGGAGAGTTGGGCGCAATTGGTGCACTCAGAGGCAGGTGGGCCCGACCGATAGAGTATAATTTGCTTAGCTGCCTCCAATACTTTTGAGGCAGCTATGCTGAAAATGCATCTAACATAACTTTAATTATACCCTGTACCCAAAGGGTGAAAGGGTATACTTGTTTTGTGCGAATGTATCTAACGGGGAGAAGAACATGGCTATATCGACTCGGCTTGTCACACTGATCAAGAATATATATACTTTGTGGGGTCTGCCATGCCTCCTTCTGCCTGTTACATACATTTGCACGAAACCAGTATAGCCTTTTACCCTTTAGAAGTGTACCTTTATATGCTTCTGTGTCTATGAACGTCTATGGGTGTGTATCTGTACAGTACAGAGAGAGCTGCTGACTATAACTATTAATCGTAATTTCTTTAATTGTGCAAAAACCGGACAAAAGGCATCGTCTCGACTTGCCAATTATTTATTAAGTATAATTGTGTCTTCCATGCTTACTTCATAACCTTACATTTTGTAAGAGAATTCGCACGCTCTCTTGCGTCTCTGATTGATCTAACTGCGCTCTCTTGGTCCTTTGCGACAAGTTGGGGCGCTCGACCACCAAAAGCTCCAACTTGTTGGTATGTCTTCATACAACAGGCTCAACACACAAATGTAGGACAGTTAGCAATCTGTTATACAACACATTCGGCAAGTTCTGTAAATTGAGTTTTTTCTTTCTCTTTTTGTGCATCTGTTATGTTATGGTGACGTTTTGTCTGCTAATATAAAGGCCACTGAGAGTGAAACCTATTCATACGTGTACATATGTACACACATGTGTATGTACATGCATGAAAAAAATCATTAATATCAATCGCTGCGTACTTACATTTACAAACAGATTAATTGCGATCGCTTTAATAACAAATTCTTTTCAAATTAAACACATTTACTTATTTAAATCACATTTACAAACACTTAAAAAAAAAAAAATTAGGCACACACATACATAAGTATATATGTATGTGCGCAGCACATTAATCGCGCGGTATTTTCGCATTAATAAACACTTGAAGAACACTTCACACACAACTTAATACGTACATATGCTTTTACATAATATTTATAATATTTAAACTATTAATTAAAATTTTCTCACACTTTTCGGCCACTCGAAAAACAAACGGCGCGACGCTTTCAGCAGTTCGAGAAAAACTAAGCTTTGCTCTGCAGACTGCAGCTGCAAGCAGAATGCTCTCTCTTTAAGAATGTAAAAGTGAAGGCAAGGAATCAAAAATCATAACTGTAAATCCGCTCACGCGTCTCCCATACGTATTTCGCTTCATGCAAATTGTCTCACATGAATTTGTTGGTTGATTATTTGTAATTTTTCAAAATGTTTATATAAATCAACAATTAATTCAATTAAAATTATTAAAGGAGCAAGGGAAAATCCAATAATTATGCGAGTTTTGGAAAATCGCTAATTGCGTTGGAGAGGGGGGAGGGAGGGAGTATAAAAACATTTCATAGATGGCGCAGCTAACTTTGAAAATGGCATAAAAAAAATGACTGCCGATATGAGGCGCTTAAGTGCAAAAGGCTATTAAATAGGATGCACCAAACGTAATTATTTTCATACGAAATCCCGTCTTAATGCTGCCAAAAGGAAATTTCATGCAGCTAAGTATCGGGGCAGCTAAGCAAATTATACTTTATAAGTTAATACATTAGAGTGGAAGCCCCAAAGCCCCGATCTCAATATTGTACATAGGACGTCATGCCTTCGGTTGCGATCGTTTCTTTAATTTCCCGCACTGGGGCCACCTTCAATGGCACTTACAAACAAATGCAAAGTTATAAAATAATGTAACGTAACTTCGACTCCATTTTCCACTTAGCAGCTACTAATCCTACTTACAACCTACTTCTCACCGTTCTACTCTAGTGGCGACGCCCTGGGCCTCGTTACATACATATACTTGTAATAGAGAATGCTTGGGCTTATACCCGTATAAAAAGAAAAGGAAGCTCAGACTTATCAAGAGCGCGCGAGGAGACGATTGCTGAAGTTCAAGGACTTTGGCAGGATATACTTGTATCATTGGGAACATTACAAAATTTGGTCAAATCAATTGCTGTACGGTTGAAAAAGGTCATTGATGTCAAAGGTATACTTTTATTAAATTTTTGTTATCCCCACCAATAATAACTCTTTCTTTCAGCCCTGAAATAAGGTGTTGACTAATACACCACACAGATGATAACCGGACACGGCTACTTCAGCTCTTTCCTCCATGCTACTGAGGTGAGTCCACAAAGTAGCTGCGAGTACAATGAAGCCAAGTATGATACCGTAAGTTACCATTAATTTATTATTTATAAATTTAAGATGGATGAACTCAATAAATCAATAGAAATCGCCGCAACAGCCTTATTGTTCTTATGTCGAACTACTTTTGTCCACCGTTGTAATTCCCTGTAAGTTGTGCAAGTAATTAGATAAAGCTTGAAAATAACAAAAGAAACGTCGTTCGTTGGCCATATTGCCGCAAGGCTACCATGAGATGGAACGACGAACTGGCCTATCTGGCCTCCCTGAATGTGAGGAGCTGTGCCATGAGGCACGACGCTTGCCACAACACCAACGACTTCGACTTTGCCGGCCAGAATCTGGCCTGGGTGGGCTTGCTTATGACAAACTTATTTGCAAACAATAAATAATACCTATCTGGAAGCTACAAATAATGATAAGAGATACCTAAATTACGTTTAGCAGGAAATCGTTTCAAGATACGCAAGTTCTCAGAACTCAACTTCATAATAATATATGAGACCAAGCGATAAGCGATTTATTTAAAACAAGCAGGTCTAGCTCGTCTTGATTGATTGATTTGCTATATTCTTATTTCCAGACGGGTTTATAAGGGAACTATCTAATAGTATATTCCTTTGGCAGGTTTCCAAAGATAGATAGTTCCTATCTATCCTATGATTGGCAATTATCCAGCCCATTCATTGTAGTTGTAGGACTCGTTGCTTGAACAAAGATTGGGATAGTTGGAATGACGGCCCGTGGTGCACTCGGAAGCGGGTGAGCCCGACCGATATACGGGATTGTTTATGACGTTCGTGACGGCGTAGTTGCACGCAAGTAGCGTACCCTGCGAGTTGTTGGCGTCCGTATACCGTAGAATGGCGCATCCGATGCGATTGTTGCGTTCATTAATCATGGTCGTGAAGTGTCCAAAGGCGCTTCGAAAGGAACGGAACAATCTTCAAAAGGATTGCACTTCAGACGACCAACTACTTACGGTCCGCCACGCGGCTGATAGTTCTCTATGTCGGCGCTGGTGGCATAGCGGTGCTCATCGAACCAGGCTTCGATGCGCTGTCGCAGGAATGGCTCCACATCGATGTTGCGCGTGAAGAGGACGCTCAGGTTCTGGCCGGCGAACCGATAGGTGTTCGTATTGCGGCACTGATCGTGCTCCATGCGACAGCGCAGCGTGTTGTAGGCGGCCAGGGTTGCCAGCGTCGAGTCCCACGACATGCTGGCCATGTGGGTGGCACTCGGAAAGCCACTCAGGCCACCACTGGCGATCCGATTGCGACGTTCGTTGTGCAGACCCAGTATGAGTGCAATATGCGGATTCACATTCACGAGCTCGGCGCGACAACCATCAGCAAAGCGCTGCACATTTCTTAGGGTAAACAATCAACCACTTAATACAATTAGCAACTTACGCCCGTGCTCTGGCAAGCCACATGCCGTAGCCCGCCGGGGCACAATTGCGGATCGCAATAGTTCTGAGCCAAAGCAAGGAGTAGACTGCTGCCTAAAAGGCAATACCAAATCCAAAAGCAATCCGATCGTGCCATTTTGGACTTAACTGGAGTGCTCTGACTATGCGCCGGCTATATTTATAGGCGAGGCCTAGCAGTGACTCACCAGACTCCCAACTGCAGATGTTCTGTATGGAGCAATAAACAAAAGACTGTTGTTCTTGAAAGGAGCCCCGAATTACGAAAACAATTTTCGTGAATTGCGTGAGGTAATTGCATACATAGGTATGTTCCCATATTTTCGGATAAATAATTCATAAACTGAATAAATTCTGAGTGGTAACTGCCCCGGAATTCATTGGAGAAATCGTTCGTCGCTGAACCTATGACCTGAAACCAAATTATTGTCGCACATAATGTGATCAAAATTTGCCATTTGTTGAGTAACTTAATTGAGTTTATATCAGTTTTATGGTTTTTCTTTCACTTTTTCCCCCTTTGTCTCTCGCATTCACAAAAGTTTTATGTTTATTTCTTTCCATACTCTTTCCTCAACTACGGTAAAATGGTATGCTGGAAGCGAGCAGTCGTTCGTGTTACTTGAAATTCTGAGTAATATATAACTTGTTGTTATGCAAATATTGTTGATAAAATATGCAAATATTGTTTATAAGTCAAATACTTAAAGGAGGTATTTTTTGGGTCTAAGAGATTAACATTTCTTTTTCAATTCAAAAAACTTCAATTAACCAAACATTCTCATGGAAGCTATATTATATAGAGCGCCGATTTTGAGCAAACTTTTGAAAAAAGTAAACCATTATTTAAAACAAGGTTCTGTATGGTAAAGATATTCCGATAAATCATGATGAAAGCTATATTCTCGTACCGATCGTTCCTATAACAGCTATCGAAATTAGTGGGGATATATAAAGATTACGAGAAACTTGCTTTGTGCGTGGTTAAAACAAGTCTACATGCCAAGTTTTGTGCCCCCAACAGTTAGAGTTTAGAAGTAATCGAGGTTCATATGTACAAACAGATGAACGGACGGTTCTTTCTCGGCTCGTCGCGCCAAGCTGATCTTACTTGTATACATACAATGGAGTTTGCCGCGCCTTTTCCACACAAATGAAATATAATTTAACTTTTATTGAAGATTTTTTTGAACTACCTATTTCAGAGTATTCAAGAGTTGAGAACTCACGCCTACAGCTCGCACGACTTTTACTTTTCAAAATTAAAACACTGCGTGGAGGGCATCGTCAGAGTTGTGAAATATAAATTAGGTTGCGCATTAGGCATTCAAGCATCAAGTTAGACTAGGACTAGTCTTACAAGCAACATACTCTCGCCGGCGAGAACCCATCTGGCCGTGGATATGTAGGATTTCCAACTATATTAGATATAGGTTTCAGATCGGGAATAGAGTCGCCAATTCCCAACCACAAATTGATGGCAAGCTGGCTTATTGATCCGTTGATTTAAGCTCAGTTACGAAAGCGCCGATGTCGTTGCTTTCGAAAGGTCAGCTTCATTAGCCTCGTGAACTAGTTAGTTTGTAAGCGGGTCTCTGTTCGAAGCGGGGGTGGAGGTGATGGTGCCATTAACGCGGCGTGTGACCTTTAGGTTGAAACAAAAGTATATATACTTTCGGGTCAAAAGATTAGTAACTAAACTCGCTTCACAGCTTCAACAGCCCCAACAGCAAGCAACCAGCGGAACAAAATGAAGGTAAGGAGTAGGATGATAGAGACAATTCTGGAATGATCTTTCATAAAAGTATTTTTTCTACTTTAAAGTCTCAGCAAATCCTTGTATGCTTTCTGGCCATCGTGGCTGTAACTTATGCTGGCAGCATTGGAGGCGGCGGCTGGAGTTCGGGCGGCGGTGGCTGGGCATCAGGATCGAGTTCTGGCGCTGGCTGGGCATCAGGTGGTGGCTCTGGCTGGGCTTCAGGAGCTGGCTCTGGCGAGACGATTATTAAAGTAATAAGCGAGCTGGGATCAGAAGACCATGGCCATGGTCATGGACACGATCATGGACACGGACAGGCTCAAGAAATTAAAATCATTCATGTGATCAGCGAAGCGGCCGGCCACAGCCATAGTCACGATCATGGTCACGATCATGGTCACGATCATGGTCACGATCATAGTCAAGGATCTGGCGACATTAAGATCATCAAAGTAATTCATGAAGCTGCTGACGATGCGGGCACACAGCATGATCATTCCGCTGGAGATCATCAGGCCAAAATTATTAGTCTTATCACCTCTGATATTGGCAACGCGGGCCCTTCTAATGGTGGGTGGGCAGCAGCGCCAGAGAGCTCAGCCAGCGGCTGGAATGCTGCACCCGCCGGCTGGAGCGGCGGTTGGGACTAAACGTCTGGCATCATCTTGTAATAAGGTTTTCCGTTTCATCCATAACATTTTTTTTTTTATATTTTTAAATCGATCATTTAAAAAATTAAATAAAAAGCGATAAGCTGAGTAGTAACTAAAAATAAACTTTTTTGTTTACTATTGTGCCAATCAGAAAGCAGTTAGGCGGTGGTGTAAAAGCCAGAGGGTCGGTGGATCTGTTTGAAAACTGAGCTGCAATGGTTTTAAAAGATATTTTGAATCTCTTTTCCAGCTATTCCGCTATTCCAGCTGGCTTAGAATTCGATAAGAACAAAGTGGTTTAGGGGCATATTTATTACACTGATAAAAAAGTTGCATTGTACAGGTGAATATTTTCACATTAAATTTCATGTTCTACTATTTCATATTCAAATCAAATATAAACATCGTAAATTTTACTAAAAACATATGCAATTACTGATTTTAATATGAATATTATTCAAAACAAAGTGTAAAACTTCGTTATTAAAGTGTGTCATATTCAATTTAATGTTGAACCATATTAAATATTAATATGCACACACTTCAAAAAACAAATAGTTAAATTTACTATGTATATTCCGTAGTAAATTATAATATTTTTCTCAACTTTAAGTTGGAGTTTCTTGTAGTCTTTTTAAATATACTAGAAATAAAATTCTCAAGTCGGTTTTCAGCGGTTGTGTGGTATAAATACAAAGTGTAAGCGATTGACATACAGATTAGGTAAGTGTTATTCAATCAGATGCTCCTCACTTTTGATGTTAATATTGATCCAAACTATATATCCTTACTAGGCATAAAAACATCAAGATAATTAATTCATAATAACAAAAGACATTTAAAATTACTCTCCGCTAATAAATGGTGTTCTATAGAAAAATAAATTATATATATAGAAATAAAATATGCATCATGGAAATGTTAATATTGAAAAGAGTTAAAAAAAAAAACACAAAAAAGTGGAAAAAATATTTTATAATTGTAAAAAATAAACCTTGGCGCGAATCAAACCCACGTCTCCACATCATCACTTGTGATTTAATATCGTCACACTTTAAATTTAATATTAAATTTTTAAATTTAAGTATGCACACTTTATATTTACTAAAACACACGATGGTGCAAAATCGATGGTAAAAATAGTTAAATCTACGTGTGAATATTGAAATTTCCGTGGTTTTTTTTTTATCAGTGTAGAGAATTAAGGCCCTGAATTGAGTTAAAAAGTGGGTTACAAGTATTGCGGCCAAACTGGAGGCAAAACACATGAAAATATGTTATCTAACTATTTTGAAACTGGTTCGGAGTTATCTTTGGAGACAAAGTGATTTAAGATGATGTTTCAGATGGAAATGAAGTCCTTTATTGGGCTAAAAACTGTGCTACAACAGTTTCAAATGGACAGGTTTAGCTGGTTGCTAGGCCACAAAAGAAAGCTACCCCTACGATTCGAAAGGGCAGTATACAGTATACATTGCCGGAATACTGGCAATCACTCTATGCACTAGATATTTGCTTTGTTCTGATAATGATATATGTAATGATCCCCCCCTCCCCCCTCTCCCTCTTCGACGTCATCTCAGCTGATAAAAGCCCGACCCCAGACGGGAGTTTGGTGCGGCTTGTCTTTCGGTTTGGTTTTTTAAAATTTGACTGCCACTCAGGTCCAGTTCCATGCATATTCCGCAACTTTAAAAGCCAAATCAAATTATGTAGTTCATTTCATGTCATTTCACGACACAGATAGACACATTCGTCCATTTAATTTGATGCTGCGGCAGATGCGTCAGCGCCGGCGCCAGCGTTGGCGTTGACTTTGGCGCTGGCAGAGCCAGTGAATTGGAGTTTGCCGCGTCGGGTGCTTACATAAATTATCGGAGCAGCAACGCCCAGTTAAAAAATAAAGCACGAAAAAAAAAAAAAAATCAAACATATGTGTGTACATACATACTCGTATACTATATGCATAATTTCAGCGAACACATTTGGATAATGGGAGTGAAGTGATTTAGTAATTGGCATGCCTTTAACCCAGCAGTGGTGCCACCCACTCCCTTGAAACTACATTACTACATTTATTACCAAGACCTTGCAGTAAAATGGGCAGCTTTGAAGCTTTTTGAAGACACCACAGAAAATCATCATAAGGGGAAAGTACAAATGTTTACTGATTGATGCAAATCCAATGCCTTCTTGGGGTTAAGGAGCAACGATAAAAGAAATCACAGCATCAAACAGTTCGTAAAAAAGATTATTAAGATACAGGGTTTTGAAGACGACATTGAAAATTATGTTAAGAGAGCAGGTACAAATAATTACTGCAAATTCTATACTATCCTGGGGTTAAGGTTTAGTGGTGATTTAGTGGTTGATATATAAAAAATGTGCTACGTAAAGAGCTACTGAAAATTAAAAGGGTTGATCAGTTAAGCAGGAATTCTTGCAGAACCATTAGATTCTTTTATAAAGAAGAACATTGTATTCCTTCTTCTAACATAATATAAGGCTTAGCTAGAAGTCGAAGCAGAACACGTTCCTACTATAAGAGATACTACATCAGATTATTTGTGCAAACCTCATTTAAAAAGTTGTGTGAACTGGCAACTTCTAACTTCTCAAAAATATATTAAAGTCCTGTTTTATACAAATAATGTAAGATTCCAAACGCATGTCTGCATTGAATATAAAATGTTTATATTAAGATTTTGTAGCAAGATATTAGGATATATAGTTGAAGATATAGTTAAATAAAAAACGCCCACGTGGAAGACAAATGAGAAAGCTATTAAGTGCTCTTCTAAAGTCTAGGCTTCTAGTATTATTTTGTGAAGAAATTTCCCTTTTAATGCGGTATTTGATTTGCGTTGGCATTTCATTCTCCCCAAATTGTAAAGCCTTTGTCGTTGTGAAAAAAAATATAAGGGCTATGCATATTTGGAAAGTCAATTTCCGTACATATTGAGAATTATTTGTTATTACAAAATAATATTATAACTATGATTTATTTATTTATTACCACAATATTATAAATATATCTTAATGTAATACCTATATTCTTTGTCCTGTTTACTCTGTAAAGTGTAATTATAAATAGATAGATAGATCGAAGGTTAGAAAGAAGCATTGTGGTTTTACCTCACCTTAGGGCTAAATTGGTCAGAGAATAAGGAGAACAAACTATAATTCTTATATGTGTAGATATAAACACATAAATAGTTAGATTGAAAGCTAGATAGATAGACCATATTGTTTGCCAGCATTGTTTGTTTTAGGTTCGCAATTCTTTCTTTCTGTCTATTTTTGTACATTTTTTTTGCAATTACAAGGTTTGAAAAGTTTTGAAGAGCCGTCTGCTGTTCGTTCGGTCGCGTTTCGGGTCGACCAATTATAATTATTGATCATTGAGATTTTTCGCTGTAGCATAAAAATGAGTCAAATGTCGTGACTGCGTGTGATTTCGAGCCTCCAACATCGAGTACTTAATTAACGAAGCGAAACGAAAGATTGGGGAAAATTATGTATCGCCCATTCATCCATCAAGTGTCACAGCGAAGGTTTATGTTTTCGGCGGCCCCAACGATTGGCAAATAACGGAATTTATGTATAATGCTTCCAGGTTGCCAGCTTCCAGCTTTATAATGGAATAATGGGTGTTGGGGTGGTCGGCCGCTGTTGCGTTTTGGGCGGCTACTGTTGGCAATCTCTGTGGGTTTTTCTTTTTGTTTTGAGTTTCGGCTTTTCGGGTCATTTGTTTGTTGACCTTTTGATTAATTGCCCATAGAGGAGGGGAGGGGACCATAAAGTAAAATTTCCGTCAAGATTGTTTTAAATTAGCTTAAGTAAAGTCGGGCTTGGGCCTTGGGAAATTGGTAGTGCATGTGGCTATGGGTCGCTTAGCTGCGATCGATTGTGGCCCTGGTGGTGCACTGGTCAGACAGTGGTTGTGACCGAGGCGGCGTCGTCGTGTGGACAAGCAGTTAGAGTGTCATAAATTAGCATATGCTTGTATGCTCGTTGGAGCAGCGGCGGCAACGTCCACGCCGACGCCAACGCCTCAGTTGCGGTAACCACCGCTTCATGATGCTTCATGATGGTGCGATTATGATGATGATGTTGCTGTTGCTGTTGCTGCCGACGGCTGCTTGAGGACCGGCCGCGTTTCATAAAAGCAGACCCAACAGCTCTACAGGGCACAGTTGTAAGTCGGCGCTTGCGTAGATCGCTTAAGGCAGTTACAAACCCAAAACAACCAACCCAATCGGTGCAAAAGTACAACATGAAGGTGCGTATTCCTCCTGTTGTCCTGCTCGAAATATCGTGTGCATGGCTTGGTCTCTTTTCTTTTCTTTTTTTTTTAATGTGTGTGCTCGTGTGTGCTTTTTTTTAACTCTGTGTATCCCGAAGGAGGAAAGTTTTTACTAAAAATGTCAAAATGTATTTGAGAGGCAGAAGAAGGCGTGACAGGCATGCTATGGGTATATATATATACTTAGCAGGACGAAACAAAGCGAAAGAGACATGTCCGATTGTCCGTCTGTATGAACGTCGAGAACTTTTGAGCCATAACAGCTAGGGACACCAAACTTGGTATGTAGACTTGTTTCATCCTTGTGCAGAACAAGTTCATTAAAAATCATATGTAGCTTCATTATTTTGTGTAGTTATCATAGTAAGGATTGGTGTAAAAACAAACTCATAAGGGAAGAAATTTCACTGTTCATACAGAAATTTCTAGCAAACTGGCTATTTACAAAATTTTTGTAGTATCTCATCATAAGCTGTAATTTCGTTAGAATCGGTGTACATATAGTATGACAGCTACAGGAAGGATCGATGCCGAAAACATTCTTAGTAGTGAAAGTTTTTTTCTTTATACAGATATTGTTAACAAATTGGATATTTTTTATGGTCGTCCACTATAATCTAAAGTTTTATCGAAATTGGTATGCTTTATCCTATAGCTCCCATAGGAAGGATCGGAGCGAAAATTAATTTTGCACCAAAAACTTGTAGTTCTATCACCAAATCGAAAGCAGACTTGGTATTCATGAGTTTTCAAAATCATCTGCAGTTATATCATGTACATAGATGTCGGTGCAAAGGAGGCTTAGTTTAAGTATAGGACTATGGCACTAGATTTTTAATATGCCTAATCTTTTCGTCTTTCAGGTATTTCTTTGCTTGCTTGCCGTGTGCGGTGCGGCCCATGCTGGTTTCCTAGGAGGTTCCGGCTACGGTAGTGGCGGCTGGTCGTCTGGTGGCTACGGCGGTGGTAGCGTTGTTAAAGTCGTCAAAGTGGTATCTGACGGTGGCTATGGAGGTGGTTATGGAGGTGGCTATGGCGGCGACTATGGAGGTGGCTACGGCGGCGGCCATGGTGGTCACGGAGCTGCCATCAGCGATGTTAAAATCGTAAAGGTGATCTCACAAGGCTCTGGTGGTTACGGCGGCGGCGGCGGCTGGTCATCTGGTGGCTACGGCGGTGGCTACGGCGGTGGTTACGGTGGTGGCGCCGTTAAAATCGTCAAAGTTATTTCCGATGGCGGCTATGGCGGCGGTGGCTGGGCTCCACAAGGCGGTTGGGCACCAAGCTGGTAAAGCAGCGGACTGTCAGAAATTACCTGAAATGTTTACTTTCGCAGTGGTATGGTTGCCGAAAGATTTAACATACAACTTGTTATTTCCCGCACTCTATTAATTATTTTAAGTTGATGGAATTGTTTATTAAAAAAAATTAAAAAAAAAAACAAAAAACAGGGTTTTCTTATTAATTATTATTAATGTTTGTTATTAATATCAAAGACCTCTTGGCAAGATTAGAGACTTAGTAGCGAAAGTACGACCATAACTCATATCTCACCTTACGTTTTCCTAGCTGGCCCTTTTTGGCCTTACCTAACCTTAGCTAATCGTACCTTTTTTTTTTTTTGGTAGAACCACATACCGATGAGTAACTGCTTTAGTTAGGTCCATATTTTATCGAACTTCTTAATAACCGGACCGATAGAAGGAACTTTGTGTTTGTGACCAATAATTGAACATAACTCAAACGTGTTGTTTTCAATACGATCCTGAAACCAAGCGTCAAAGTGGTTAAGATATCTGCATGAACAAAAACAATTTTATTACGATTTTTAATTCCGGATTGGTTTGGTTTGTTATAAACTTGCAATGTGTGTGGATTAAACAAAGTCAGATACCAAGTTTTGTACCCCCGGCTGATGTGGTTTAAAAGTTCTCGCTAATCATACAGTCGAACAGATGAGCAGGATGACGCACGAATATGCTCTTTACACCTGTGCCTATCACATGTGGTTTGCCCCGCTTCCTTCTATCTGTTGCATTTTTAATTTTAGATTAATTAATTTTAGATCATTTCAGTTATTCAGTTGAGAATAGCGAGCGCGCCTTTTGAAATTAATTAAATTAAAGATATTAGAAAAAAATTAATTTTTATATTTTTTGTTGTCAATTTATTTTCAACATTAAAACGTTAACCTTTTTCGGTGAATTCCGTATTTAATTAACAATTCCTAGTCTGCTTTTCATGCATTATTTTGCCAGTGTTGAGAAATTCGACAACCGGCTGAGTTGTTAAGCAACAAATACTAGCATACTTTTAGGTGCGGAGTCTCCAAACTCGTTTTTCCCAATCAGAGCAAGAAAGTATCGTTTGATCTTGTAATCGATGTAATTCTGTTTATGTAGATTATTTATAATTGTGTTGCTCATTCTTTTTTAGCCCTTGTGTTGCGGCTTTCCTTCTAGTTTTGTAGATTGTCTTATCATCACAAGAGTCTTATTTGCCTTGACAGCCTGAGTTATCATAACTTTGTCTCTACGGTGTTTAAACAATTATTCAGTATTTTTCTATTATCTCGTATTTTAGAAGGAATTTTTTGCCTAAATGTCTACAAAGAGTTCTGAAGCAGTGCTTCATTTTTCATATAGTTGAACCAATGTGCCCTTAATAAATAATTAAACTAAGTTGAAGTTTTATGGTTGAAGAGCAGTCCGTCTTTTTTTCAAACAGCCTAAAAGCAGTCCAACAAAACCGTCAACAAAAAACAAGTAAACAAAACCCTTCCCTGAGCTAAACCAGTTTGGTGCTCTTTACCTACAAATATACATATACGAGTATACGTAAGTACGTGTGCACTGGATTCGAGGGGTTAAGGCAGTTCAATGTCAGGTGAAGATTGTAGAAAGTGAAAGTTGCGTTCAACTCAGTTGCTTGTCAGGAAGTTAAGCTGACAGCGACGTCGTCCTTCAGAGTAGGATTACAAAATTCTTGTTAATTAATTTCAACCAAACCGGTACTAAAGTTGCAGCAATATTTTGTTTTTAATAAGTATAGTAATGCCCTACTTGCTTTTATGTGTGTGGAATAGTACAAAATATTATTACCGTAACATAAAAAAAAAAAGAAACCTTAAGATTAAATCTGCCTCAGGTCTCATGCAGACTTAATTGAAATTAAGGAAAGGAAGTCTTTTGATTTATTATGTTTGTCGGTTAAATCAACATAACGAGTAGAACTTTAAATTCGTGCCATTGCGACTCTTGCATACTCTGAAATCACCCTTAAAACTGCAATAAACTGTGTCCATTTCTATGGCAGCTTTATGATATAGTTAGCCGACATAGATTTACTTAAGACAAACAAGTCTTTTGAGCCAAGATTCATTTCTGCGACAATCGTTATAGAGCACCCATATAAAAGAAAGTTTAGGATGATACCCCAAAGAAAAGATTTGCGTGAACAAACAAGTCATCATAGGAGTGATTTTTTTCATCGTGACTTCATTTTGATGCAAATTCAAGTTTAGTTTTCTCAGCTGCTGTGGCTCAAAAGTTCTTGAAGTTCTCTCACACAGTTGAACAGTTAGAGGAATGAAACGTTTCGATTCGTCTTGTTATATATACATACTTGTATATGTAAGTAAGTGTAGTAAGTATAATTTATTTTTGAAAAATGTACATTTGCGAAACATAGTCATTGCAGCAAGATGAAATACGACGGACGATATTTTTTACCAAATTTTCGATCTTGGGAATTTCACAAAAAATCATTTTCTAATCGCTACATAAAATGTCTTTTTCTCGATAGTTTTTATCCGTTCTCGTTTGACGCTAAGGTTGTAAGCTATGAATGGCTATTTCGCATTGGAATGATTTAATATCCGAGCATCCAATAATTGATAATTTCCATTATTTATTGGTATATGTAATTTTTTCTTAATTGCTGTTGTTTTTTAATATGCCTTTCGCGTGATTGTTTGGTAATAAATAAACCAGAACCGAGGATAAGAAAATATATTGCATTATTCTGCTTGCTTCTAAACATATTTTGCATAGCCTACACATATTACACTGCAAAAAAAAAGTTGTACAAATTCAAAGAAATATATTTTTAAAATAATAAATAAAAATTGTCTTTTATTCTGCTCAAATTTTTATAAAGAGAGCACTTTATTAAGCCCTATATGTGAGAAAGTACAAAAGCACTTTTTCAGAGACTTGCCACTTTTGATCCGTTGATCAGCGATATAATCAGGCGACAATATAATACAACAGATCAATACACTGGGTCACGAACTCGACTTAGAAATAAAAAATAAAGTACATAAATCACAGCTGTTGCAAAGGCTGGTAAGGTGGGAAATAGGGTGTTCGTCAAATCAAGCAGGGGGTAACGAAATAAGCGGTAGAAGTCGCCCTGGGGACCATGGTCTTAATATATGGAAAGTTAATCCTTCTAAGTAAAAAACTTTGTTGTAGGATTGAAGTGATACTTCTTCTCTAATTATAGAATAATTCAAACACGGACTACATATTAGTTACGGACGGAGAAGTGAAAATTCGAAAAGACTTCCAGTAGTTTGCTGAGTTTTTGACAGGAATATTGAGAATAGAACGAACATTTGAACAGTGCATGGCTAATTGCTATTTATAGTCACTTCGCTGCAAATCATCAATTAAATAACTGCAAATTATAGATGCAAATGTTGTGATTTTATGCCACAGACACAAACACAATTTATGTGTGCCATCAACATATGATTGCCTTTTAATCTGCTGCTAAGCTGATTGAAAAATACAAGTCATCAACAACGTATTCGTTACGGCTTCGTTTACGGTCTTGATCGGATCACATACAAGTATATCGCAGAGAAATGGGCATGCTAGCTTCTAGCTTTGAATGCAGTTTGTAAGCAAAATTTTTGAAAATCTTACTTTTTCGATATTTTTTTAAGGAAGATTGGAGTTGTTCATACAAAAACTCTTTTAAGTCCGATTTGATTTAAATTCTAAAATACGTGGTGACGTCATTAGAAACGCTATATATTAAAATTGGTGGAGATAGCTTAAGAGACAAAGAAGTTAATCCGCCTATGGTAGCTATAATATATAACAGCCTTGTGTAAAATTTGATGAAGATAGCTTCAGGACCAAAGAAGATTAGATAGGTCGCTGAATTCTATATATTAGCGGTAAGTGCTATAATATTCAATATCCGGACGAAGTACTAAAAATAGAATATTGGAGAATTAACGACAGATTCTTTTATATTGCAGACATCTGCTTATCGATAGAAGACTTGGAAACACGTAGATCAAATTATCCTATCAACTGGAGACCTCGGAATTGCAATAGATCTACAATAATCATTTGTAGCCAGAAGACTTGAAGACACGCAGCTCAGATCGTCATATCAACTGGAGACCTCGGAATTGCAATAGAACTACAACAATCATTTGTAGCCAGAAGACTTGAAGACACACAGCTCAGATCGTCATATCAATTGGAGACCTCGGAATTGCAATAGAACTACAACAATCATTTGTAGCCAGAAGACTTGCAGACATGCAGCTCAGATCGTCATATCAACTGGAGACCTAGGAATCGCAATAGATCTACAAGAATCTTTTGTAGCCAGAAGACTTGAAGACACGCAGCTCAGATCGTCATATCAATTGGAGACCTAGGAATCGCAATAGATCTACAAGAATCATTTGTAGCCAGAAGACTTGAAGACACGCAGCTCAGATCATCATATCAACTGGAGACCTAGGAATCGCAATAGATCTACAAGAATCATTTGTAGCCAGAAGACTTGAAGACATGCAGCTCAGATCGTCATATCAACTGGAGACCTAGGAATCGCAATAGATCTACAAGAATCATTTGTAGCCAGAAGACTTGAAGACACGCAGCTCAGATCATCATATCAATTGGAGACCTAGGAAATAAAATAGGTGGGCAGTAGATTGTGCGGCAGCCCCCTTGCCGAACCAATAATACTGCTCGCTTAGCACACCTCACAAGATGAAGCGTACGGGTATATTTTACTCAGCATACTAATTGTTGGAAGCTGAAACAAAGAAGCTACAAAAAATCTTCTCATGCTAAGCTCACATATGAATGTATGCATAAATACATATTCATGAAAACAAACACACAAACACACACAAATATATATATATGTGCGTGCGTATGTATGTTTGTGTAGAAAAAAATTATCCGCATAAAACGGGCTGTGAAATGGGACAGTTTCCATAAATCAATATCAAGTGCATTGAACTCTCAAGCGTTTAAACAATTTGAAGTCTGTGCCGACCCAGCATTGTTGCTTTATTTTTGATCCCAAAACAATTTTAGTACCTACTATAACTAAAATACAAACAGATAGATATACTCGTACAGTATATACACATACTTAGTATGTATATATGATTCCGGTACATGTGGCGAGTTTTTCAAACGGCTATGCAAATGTGTGTGCAAAGCTTAGAACGTTTTCGGGCCACACTTCTTTCTGGCTGAGAAGACCTAGAGACCTACGAGCGAGCAACTGGTTTTTGGCATTAGCATTAATTCTAGCAAAAGATACAAGCAAACAAATTGTTGAATGTATTTTTAAGTGATGATGTGCGCGCAACAGCAACAATGGCTACTTATGCTAAAAATTGACAGGAATTATGTGTTATGCTAATGCCAAACAGTGGCCGCCATCTGTCTAAAAGATTTCCTGTTTAGTGCCGACCCTTATGGTAGCCCGACTGATTGCTGAAGGTTAGCTATCGCTATGGCAGCTTCTCCCTCTCTCGCACTGTTCTAATTTCATGAACCGCACGATCATACTACTTTTTATACCCTGTACCCAAGGGGTAAAAAGGGTATATTAGATTTGGGCAAAGTATGTAACAGGCATGGTTGTCCGCGTCTGTCTGTATGAACGCCTGGATTTCGGAAACGGTTGAAGCCACATTCCCCAAACTTGGTATGTAGACTCTTATAATATTCAGACAACACGAGTTTATTTTACTTCTTTGATTTTCACCCCTCTTGCCCCTTTTGCCACGCTACATAATTTCGTCAATAGTGTTCGCATTTCAAAAGCTACATAAACCAAACATTGCACAAGTAATCTATATACAATTATCTACTTTTGTTTCATCCAAGGCGGTAAATTTTTAGAAAAACTTTTAGCCCACAAACTGCAGCATCAAGTTCGCTCTTCTTATTCTTCTTTTTGCTTCTGTTATAGGCGCATACTTGTATAACTCAGTGCAGGGTGTTTGTCTGGGTAAAGGGTGTTTCACTGTCGGGTTTGCTCGACTTTATGGCGTACGCTCTTGTATTAGCAGTGGCGCTGTTATCGGACTGTCTCCTCTTTGAAGTCTCGCAATTTTCCCGCTTGGCGCTGGCCACCGCTTCTAGCAGCAGTCCAGCTGTGCGACAAGTTAATTAAGGCTATTGTTATCGCTATCGCAGCATCTAATAGGCTGCTCCTCTTCTTGTCCCACTTGCTTAGCTGTTCTAATTTAGTGAGCAGCATGAAGACATTGGCACGAGCAGCTGACGAATAGATTTCCTGCTCAGCGCCGGCCGTCCTTCTTATTGATGAAGGCTAACGTTATCGTTATCGCTATCGCAGCATCTCGCAGCCTGCTCCTCTCCTTTAACGTCGCCTGCCCATTACAATTTCATGCACAGCACGAACAACATTAGATAAGTTGACAAACCACAAAGAGAAACAGCAGACAAATAACACTTGGCTGGGTTTGGCCCTCAATTAAAACATATTGTTTGAAAACTACTTGTATTTGTACAAAAGAGCAAACACTTGTCCGGCAAGCGCACTGTGACTGCAAACTGTCCATTAATCAATGGGCCACCAAGTCACTGCTAATGGCTGCGCCAACTCGGCTGCCACTCAGAAATTTGAAAGAATTGTGCGAGCGAGCGCTTCCTCTCGCGGCTCACAAATGATTTTAAAGTGTTTGCCACTGCCATGAGCCTGTTGTGATTAAACGCTAACACTGTTAATTTATTTGACTTTCAGCCAATCAATTGTCAGTCAGTCCGTCAGTCAGTCCGTCAGTCAGTTCCTCAGTCAGACAGTCAGCCATTCGGCCGCGCGCGCGCGCCCGCGATCACTCAATAATTTGCATAAGCTGAGCATTGAGCAGAAGAAGCCGCCAACACAAACAATGCCCGCCAGCGGCCGGACAAGGCACTCACAAATACACAGCACACAATGGCCCACAGCATACATCTGAATGTGGGTTATTATGAGGTGTGTTGTGCCGGCACCGGCAGATCGGTATCGGATCGGATCGAATCGAATCGGAATGGGTATCGCGCATGCGCGCGTGTCCATCAATCGCTTCTAATTGCGAACTTGTTGCGCTGTCTCTGTCGCGCCGATTTGTCTGCCGTATCCAAACAATCAAACAAACCAACAAACAAACATGAATACAGATGTGTGTACACATCTGCATAATATGTGTTAGAGTTCTGCAAGATTTCTGAATATTGAATTTCGAAATTTGAATATTGAATTGAGTATAAATGTGCGTTGATAGTGCGGCTGTAGAATTAGTTGAACTCTTCCGCTCGATTGTTCGCATCGCTACGCACTCGACATGAGATCCTTTGCTGTTATTTTGATCGCTTTCGCGGTTGTGGCCGCGACGAACGCGCACAATGTGCAGAAACGCTCCTTGGAAGGCTTACTCGGCGGCGGTGGTGGTGGCGGCGGCGGCGGCGGCGGCGGTGGAGGTGCCGGCCTGGGCGGCATCGCACAATTGCTGCAAAGCAAGCTTGGCGGACTAGGCGGTGGACTTGGTGGTGGACAAGGAGGCGGCAGAAGCTATTCGGGCGGTAGCAGCTACTCTGGCGGTGGCGGCTACTCCGGTGGTGGCGGCTACTCTGGCGGTGGCGGATACTCCGGCGGTGGTGGATACTCCGGCGGTGGTGGATACTCCGGCGGTGGTGGCCACTCTGGTGGTGCTAGCTATGCTGCACCCGCTGAGAAGGTTATCATTGTCAAGGTCATTAGCGAGGGCAGCAGCGGTGGCTACTCCGGCGGTCATTCCGGCGGCTACTCTGGCGGTTACTCCGGCGGTCATTCCGGTGGCTACTCCGGCGGCTACTCCGGCGGCTACTCTGGCGCTCGAGGCGGAAGCAGCGGTGGCGGCTGGCAAAAGGGTGGCTGGTAAACAAAAAAGCGCCCTACCTGGAAAATCCACATTTAGTGCAAATCGGGAGCCAAAAAGCAACAATTCTTCTGTAGTGTTTAAGCAAAAAAAAAACCACTTCTATTTTTTTTTTAGTTTTTAGATTGGTCCGTTAAGCATTTTAACCACCTTTTTTTTTCAATTCAAATACAAATTGGAGTTTTTGAAACGTAACCTAACAAGTATTTAATTGCTTACCTTCTGATGGTTGGGCTGGTGCCTTCAATTAGAGATGTACGATGCTATCGCACAGAGATCACGAAAAAGAATTGTTATGCCAAATACTTGAAAATATCATTGTCTTAAGTGCGATTTTTCTCTACACAATTCACCAGTTTCACCAATTTCAAAATCGCTCGAGAGTTTATCGGTATTACATTTCTTTTACCTATTTTGATTTCACATAATTTGATCACAGAGCAGGAACCTGCCACGCATATGCACCTCAAACCTATAACACGTTTTTTAGATTTTAGTTGAATTCAAAAAGAATCATTTACATAAATAATTTTTATTATTGTTGGGTTTTAAACTGGAAAAGTCTGCATAGTTCAGAATAATGGTAACAAATAAAATTGAAAAACGCCTCTGCTTTCCTAAAATGGTAAAAAAGAAGTCAACGAATTTTAAAGATTTCATAAATGTGCGTGATCGTCACATCAGTTTCTGTCACGCGAGCAGCTCTACTGGCGATGTCACGCGATCATGATTTGCACCTTTTGGCTTTTGGCAACAGAAATTCTCAAAGATTGCGTAACTCTGACATCTGGTGCAGTTTTTTATTCGAAAATTGATTGATAGTCCATTAGTCAGTCAGTCAGTGAGTCAGCCATCCATTCAGCCATTCAATCAACGGCTTAGTGCACTAAACTGAAGCTGTGCATGGGGCGTGTTGGCTAGCCTCGAACGTGCAAGAGTCAAGAAGTTCACATTTTTAATTTAACTCAACGACCTGATTTGTGCTCCCATTTGGCAACAAGAAAATTGTCAGTAAAGTTCAATTCGTTCATAGAGAGAGAGAGAGAATACTAGATCATAATAACCACTATTGTATACTCGCATAACCACTAACCATCTGGGTCACTAAATAAACAACAATGCTGGGTAAGTGGCATTGATGGTTGGATCCCACCACGTGTGGCCGGCCGCACTTGAATGTTAATTTTAATGTTAATGGTCGCAGGTAGCATTCAAAATAATGGAAAGCGATAAATAAATCCATTTGTCAGGCAAGCGGCTACTCATTTGGTTTGACAAGAGTTTTTACATAAAGCAGTGCGCCAATAAATTGAAGATCGTATTGGCAGTAGAAACAAATTGCTCACAAGTCAGGTGCGCATGCGCATTCGCGACTGCGTTCGCTTTGAATTTGCTTTGGGGGCGATGCAATGAGACGAAATGGTGAGCTGGCTGGCTGGCTGGCTGGATGGCTGGTTTGGGGGGCGTTGCAACGCCATTATGTCGTGCCGTCGTAACAAAGCGTTTGAGACGAAGAGTCGGCACAATAGGCCCACCGCATAGCTTTCAAGCGTCGCGGTTAGCCGATTGCCAGCCAACGCCAGCTCTTCGGTAAGCGAACATTACATTACACTGAGAGAAATACTCAAGACGACCGCATCTTTACAATATTCTTTACAATATAAACGACTCTTCTCGCCGACACCACAGTTATTCATCTAAAACGTACTATATATGGTTCCCATGGGAACTAGAAAGCAGATGCGGCTACCTTATCAGTTTGATGTCCCTAGCTATTTTGGTTTTAAAGTTATAGAGGCTTATACCTACAACTTGGAGTGTGCCACTCCTACTCCTGCCTGTCGCAAGCATTTAGACTTTCTAGTAGACCCTTTCATCTTATAAAGAAGAATGGCACAGACCGAGAAAGTGGGGTTAGGATCCCCTTGAAGAAAACCTACCTTCTTGGAAACTTCAATTCTTTTTCACCTCTGAGCTGCGTCGAATTTCAAGTTCTTTTTATTTTGGTTCCGTGTAGACGCATGGTAGCACTCTGGCTCGCCATTGTAAGCTGCTTGCAGATTTGGCAATTACATTTGATTATACGACTGGGGCTCGCGTCTAGACTCGGCTAGAATCTAATCTCAGATGTGCGCTGCAGTATAAATAGCCGGCTGTGGGCCCAGCAAGACTTTAGTTGTTAACAGAAGCAGAAGCAAGATGAAATCAACACTTCGTCTGGTCGTTCTGGTCGTGATATGCGTTGCCGCCGTCAGCGTCTATGCCAAGCCTCATGGCAGTTGGAGCAGTAGCGGAGGTGGAATCGGTGGCATTGGAGGTGGCGGTTGGTCATCAGGCGCCAGCAGTTGGCCCAGTAAGATCAGCATAAGTGCTTGGCCATCCGGCGGTGGAGGTGGCGGCGGCGGTTGGTCCTCCGGAGGCGGTGGTTGGCCCTCAGGAGGCGGTGGAAAGTCCTGGTCCTCTGGTGGTAGTGGTGGTGGCTGGCCGAAAAGTTCGAGCGGTGGTGCTTCATCCTGGAAGGTCAGTTCAATAGGCGGAGGCCATGGTGGAGGCGGCAGCGGAGGTGGTTGGTCCAGTGCCCTCTCCAGCTTGAGCGGCTGGAAGTCACAGGCTCTGTCCAGCTTGGGCGGAGGTGGCTGGAAGAGTGGTGGAGGTGGCGGCGGTGGCTGGAAGAGTGGTGGAGGTGGCTGGAAGAGTGGTGGTGGTGGCGGCGGTGGCTGGAAGAGTGTTGGCGGTGGCGGCTCCGGCTGGAAAAGCAGTGGCGGCTCCGGTTGGTCCTCTGGTGGAGGTCTCGGCGGTTGGTCTTCTGGCGGAGGAGGTTCCGGCTGGAGTTGGTAATCCCCACAACTTTGCAGCAGACTAAGAGACGTAAAGGAGCCACAATCTAAGCTATACTTAAAGTACCTGGCCTGTGGAATTTATGACAAATTGTACAAGCATTCTATCTAGGAATGTTATATGTAATTAGGGTTTGTAAATAACTTCAGCTCCCAAATGAGAGCTGCAAAGTCTGGCCCCAAGTTGAGAGTTAAACTTTGAAAATAAACAATAAATATTATTTTGCATACAGTACGGGGACAATACTTATTATATATGAACTCCTCATAGTGATGGAATTGCACTTAAATTAAGAGTTCCATCTCTGACTCGACTAGATGAGGACTACTGCTAATCGTTTGGATCGAAGCAAAAGGTTACCTTCTTTCGGAAGCAATCGAAACTAGTCATGAAGACCTGATAATTAATGGTCCTGCCCATCTCAAGAACTATATTTTTTGTAGGCTAGGTGTCGTTCGTCGGATAGTATTGGATCATTGTCCTTCTCTCAGATAGAACTCAAAGCCATTATCAAATCAATGATTGACCATCTCATCTCAACAGCCACCTTTTCAGTATCATAGCACTACGATCGTTGGATTATACGATGGATATTTATGACAGCTTCTTGGTCATCGTTTAGGCCGCCCACTTCTCCAGTTAATAGGAGTCCAGATGTGCTCCGAAGCCAAAACTTTATTGAAGTTAGACTTGGTGTTCCGTCTCCCATTCCTTTTCTCCACCTTTTTTTTTCAAATGCAGAAATACTTTTTATTCAAAGCACAGACAAAGAGCTTAATCTAAGAGTCTCCTTAACATGAGTATATATGAGAATTGACGGAGAGGCGAGTGGTTTGCGTTCTGGTTTCTCGTGATCGTTCAAATTGTTTCTTCAATTACCAACCACCACCACCGCCGCCGCCGCCGTGTTTACCGCCCTGTCCTTGCCAGGAGGTTGAGCTACCACGATGTCCGGCTAGCGATTTGCCACCACCACCTTGTTGCCAGCCTCCTCCACCACCACCTCCTTGCTGCCAGCCTCCGCCACCACCGCCTCCTTGCTGCCAGCCTCCACCCCCACCTCCGCCATTCTTCTGCCAGCCACCGCCGCCGCCTCCACCACCGTTCTTTTGCCAGCCACCGCCTCCTCCACCACCGCCGTTCTTCTGCCAGCCACCGCTACCGCCGCCACCGTGTCCGCCGCCACCCTGTTGCCAGCCACCTCCTCCGTGGCCACCACCACCACCGCCACCTCCAAGTAATCCAGCCGAGGCAACGGCAAACAATAGTCCACAGACGAGCGCAATGAGCAGAGCGTGCCGCATTTTAGTCCTTTGTTGTAGAAAACTTTGTCGCGTATCGATTGTCCAAAAACTGCTAGAACCTGAGCTCCACAGATGCTGATGATGAACTGAGGGTATCGCGGCGCTTATATACCGATAGTCAGAATGGAAATGCAGCGGATCTCTCGACCCAAGCTGAGTCACGTCTGGCATCATGCGGCAATTAAGCATAAAACTGAAGCATCTGCTGCCCACCCGATCGCGGGGGTGGCAACCACTTAACGATGTCTACACCACCAACTAACCACATAACCAACTCAGTAACTCAGTAACTCAGTCGCGCACATCGATTAGCGTGAGGCGCACCCAAAGGTTGCTCCAAAGGCTGAGAAATGCAGAATGCTGCGAACAATTCGAACAATGCTAGTCAAGTGGACTTGAAGTGCGAGTGCGCGGCACACGCGTCGCATACACAGTATCGTCGTTTATGTTGGGAACATTGCGCATACGCCACCGAGCAGGCACTTCAACGCAAATACGCTGAGCCATGTTCGAGTCATTAATTACGGGCAAATAGTGGCGAGGCTGCCTCTGCCTTTGCCTCTGCCGCTACCACTGCAATTACAATTTGTTTTTATAGTTTATATTTAAAAAATTACGAGTACTTAACAACATTTCAGACGTAAACGTTCAACATCCACAATGCACTTTCCCAAAACTATTCATTTGAATATCAAATAGAGGACCACTGCCCTCCGTTTTTTGACGCTTGCTTAAGACTTCATCTCTGGAATAATCCCATTAAACGCATTAATCTACCCACCTTATAATTAGAAATGGCAGAACGTTGCTTTGGTGGTGTTGCGTCTCACTGCCTTCTGGCATTTTACTTCACACTCCGAAGTTTATTTCATTTCATCAAATATTTTCTCATGGACTTGAGTTTAAATTATATTCGAAATTGCGGGCCACATATTTTCTCTTTGAGTTCAAGATAAACATGTCATTAATTTAGAATTCGAATGCTTTTCCTTTCTTTAAAACATACATACAACAGACAAATATTTAAATGAACGCCCTCAATTCTCCACAAATAAATATAATGCCGAATGAAAAGTAAATGTATGTCTTCTTTTCTCTCTTCCTATTTCCCGTCTTTCTCCTCAGGAATCATATCTGTAAGCATTCTATTAATCTCAAAGCCATATTTTTATTTGTACAGCCCTCTCCAGAGACCACTCGGAACATTCTTCCCAACTATCCTTATGTTCTTCTCCAGCAGGCATAGTTTCTGAAATCATCCGAACAACATTAAATCTATCTGTCTATTAACCAATTAAGTTAGTCCCTTCATATTTCCTGTTTTTTCCTCATTCATTTCTGCAAGCATTCCATTAACCTCAAATCAATGGTTTTATCCAGAGAGCACTTCGTAGTTATGTTTCATTTTCTTCTTCGCTTTCCTATCATCCGACAGACGTCTCTGGAATCATCCCATCAACCTTCATCTCATTTGTTCTTTTCCCCTCTCCTATTACCGATAGGCATCGTCTCTTGCATTATGCCATCAACCTAAAATCCAGCTGTCTATTTACATATTCTTTCTGCTCAGAGAGCACTCCCTAGTCGGTGTGACGGTTACATCAGCCAGCATATGTTGCAAATGTGTACAACACGATCTGCGCCAGCCAAACCTCTCACACAAGCACACTCACTCGGCTAGTTCAATGTCAATTGGCAAGCCACACATGGGAAACATCTCCAAGTGCAGTGCTTACCATAAATCTGACTAACCTTGCTTGTGAGCGGCACAGAGACACCCTACCTGGCAGCCATGACACCGACAATCTCCCTCACACAAGCCCCAGAGACATGGACATTACTGCTGACCCTATCTATCTGGTAGAAGAATTATTAATAGGTTGAAGGTACATAGTTGACTAGAACTGTATGTCCGCGCTGCTGGTCTTGAGTCGCTCAGCATTGCTCATAAAACTTTTATTACTAATCTGTTAATGTAGTAGTTTGAAAGCTCGCACATTCATGGACTTCTGGCTGCATCTAAAATGTGCGATTACTTGTATGTGAGTTTCGAGATCAACCAGAACACAAATCGCGCTGCTGAGCAACAATTAAGCCAGCAATTCGTATGCATCGTTCAACGGTGGCTGGCAATTTTAAATATGGAAATGTTTTTAGTATTTAATTGCTCGTCTGTGAAATAAAATATGGCACAATGAACGTGGCTAGAATGCTCGTCAATCATAAGTGCTGTGGTGGAAAAAAACAAAAACAAAAAAAAAACATATTCATACACAAATAGAAAACACAGGTTTGCGACTTTTTCATTTTCGAAAAATGTATATATTTTGCTTGAAAACCCCAAAAATTATGGTTCTTAAAGTGCAAAGTCAACATTTTTAGTTTTAATATTTAGAAAATGGGCAAAAAAATATCCAATTTGGTGGAAAATTAGGGCGATTGATTAAAATAGATTTGTCTAGCCCATATAAAATATCTGCCTCTTGCACTGAAACTATTATTTTTTATATCTATTGCTAATTCCCAAGTGGGGTTTCTGTCAAATACAAGGGATTTTAAATCATTCAAATTAATGATTTGGCAATAATATGCCTTAACTAAAATATAAGCAGGGCACTTGAACGAAATAGGTTTTACTTCAATGTTTTAACGATTCAAAATAGTACCAATGGCTAATCAATCCAAAATATGTCAACGTTTTAAGGAAATAGGTTTTTACGTTGCAGAAAATATTTTCTTCTAAGTATTAAGAAATATTTTCTTGATTTCCTGAGCAATTATATGTTTTCTTTGAGAATATCTGAAGAAAATAGACTGAGAACATTTTTGGATTTAGGTGAGCTGAGGAACACCACAAAATAGAAAACTATTTTGTGTTGCAGTTAGACCTTCGCCACTAGTTCTTTTACTTCGTCGTTGCTCTAGAGCTAAAGGAAAACGTGCTAAGTTCAGCTTCGACGGATCTTCTTCCGAGACATATGTATGTATATGTATGTTTATAACTTTTCTTTGTACGAATATACGATGCTAATATTACTTTTTTAAGGTGCAGGCTGGATTTTGCCACTAGCTCGCCCATTTTCTAAAGTTTCAATTTCAGCTCTGCCTCTTTCGATCCACCAGGAACATATACTATACGTAAAAATAGAAATCATGGAAGGTGTGCCTTTCATTTTAAATGCAGGTTTCGTAATTGTATTTGGTAAGCGAAAAAAACGAGTTTAGTTTAGTTTTACACAAAAAAAAAATCCCTTTTAAGTTTACAGTCTGGCGTCGCAATGCCTTTTGAATGCTGGTAAGGGCTATCAAAAGAGAGATCACCACCAGCCGTCGCTGCCGGACCAGCCACTGTTCCAGCCGCTGTTTCCACCTGACCAGCCACCGCCGCTGCCGCCGCCTGACCAGCCACCACCGGACCAGCCGCCAGTGTTACCCCAGCCTTGGTTCCAGCCGCCGCCGCCTCCACCACCTATTTTAATCACTTTGATCACCTTGGGCGTGGAGGACCAGCCGTTGCCGCTCCAGCCACTGCTGCCGCTGCTAATCCAGGGACCTGAGCTCCAACCGGAGCCGCCACCCCAACCACTGCTGCGTATCAAGCCGGCCGAGGCACAAGCAACGAGCGCACAAACCACAATAAGGAGCTTCATCATTTCACAAATATCGTTGTGGGTATCCTGTTGGTATCCTGCTGATATCGGGGGGCTTCTGTGTGTTAAACTGTAGCACGAATGGCATCAAAATGATACCAAAACGCACGCAGCTGGGGCTATTTATCTGACCGAACCGAACCGAACCACATCACATCACACCGCATCGCATCGCACTTCAAGTTGAGAATCCACAAAATAAATTGTAAATTAAATTTGCATCAGTGCTGCTGGTGAAGGTGGTTTGGGAAGCTGAATGGGTGGAGTGATAAACAAACTAGCAGCAGCGGCAGCGGCAGCGGCAGCAACAAACCACACAACTGGCGGCGCAATGTAATTGCAGTTTATTAAACCACTCTGGCCGATTCTTGACCAGGGTCAACCGCTTTAAGCCCCATCTGCAGAAGCCACCGATAGTAACAGTCGCAACAACCACAATCCGCAATTATAACAACAACAAGTTCAACAATAAAACACAGTCAGCAGCAGGTCGGTCGTTCTCTGAGCCGTTAACACCCGTTCCAAGTAACGCCACCAAAAGATGCCATTCTTCTGCCACACTGAGGCAAAACTCGCAAGTTTCTTCCCCAAATAAAAGGATTTCATCATGATGGAAACGAAAAATCGATCACAGAGGATTCACGCATTGTCTGGACTTGTGGGGATAGAAAAGATATGTACCTTGTACTATAGAGTTTTCAATCGGAATTAAATCGGAAAGAAACGCAGGAGACAAAAGAATTGGCCAGGTTTTTTTTAAGGTTAAAAAAGCGTGGAGACTACAATCGAAAACATCACAGAGTAACTGAATTAAGGCACATGTTTGCACATAGACGAGGCAAATTTATTAAGACTCGTTCGTCTGTCTGGATGAACGCCTGGTTTTCGGAAACAACTGAGCCTATATTGTCGAAACTTGGTATGCGGACTCCCTTAGTCCTTAGACAGCAAGAGTTTTTTTATTCTACACTTTTAGCGAAATTGTGGTACACATGGAAACATATTGCTCATCGTTACTGTATTAATACAATACTATCGCTGAAAAGTTTGAACCAATATCAAAGACGACCTAGATTCTACTTAGGGGTGCTTCTTGTAAACAACAGTCAAATAGTAAGTAACAGGCTTTAATCTTACATCCTTTTTTGTTAGGATACACCTATCCTATGTACTTCGTGGGGTCTTCAGTGTGTTACCTTAATATTATATTATTATTATACCGTAAAATGGCTTGTGTGCATTTTCGAATGCTTTTGTATGTCACTTTGCAGATAATTAATCAAACAAATAACTGTTTGCCCAAATAATAAGAAGGCAGCTTTGAAAAGTATTTAAAATTTTGACTGAAATGCTTGAGGAAATCAGTTTTTGTGATAAAAAAGTGTCTTTTATTGCAGCTTAGAAGTAGTTTGTTTGATCGCGACTTAGAAAAATAAATAGTGTATTTGAAAATGTGGCCAGTAAAATAGTCTAAACTCTCCACAAAAAAGAAAAATTTAAAAAAAAAAAAATTTTTTTAAAATTAAATTATTAAAAAAAAATAATTAATTAATTAAATTAAATTAGAATACATGTTTATGTTCAGTTTTAACAGCATACATTTACATCGCGTACCTATGCGTGTTTATATGCGTGTATGTATGCAGCACAATGTTGAACCAAAGCAGCAACAACAACAACAGCTGCGGGCAGCGCTGCTGACAGAGCTGCAGGCAGCGCATGAGCAGCGATTTTACTTATGGCTATAACTTTCTTCAGAATTGACTTATCATGATGAAACTTGGCACACGGACATATACGCACTAACTGGATGTAACTACCAAAATTGATTTCAAAATTCCAAGAATTACGGAAGTTATAAGAAGAAATACGAATTGCGGGGCGGTGGGGGGTGTATCAGAATAAAAAAAAAAACTTGACCTGCCTAGGGCTTAGGGGAACCTCGATACCAAGTTTGGTAATTCTAGCTCTTGTACCTTCTGAGATCCTTGCGCTCATACAGACGGACGGACGGACGGACGGACATGGCTATATCGACTTGTGTTGTCATCCTGATTAATAATATATATACTTTGTGGGGTCTGCCACGCCTCCTTCTGTGTGTTACATACATTCGCACAAAACTAGTATAGCCTTTCACCCTTTCTTCTAATTGTCATACTTCATACTAATATACTTCGTTATAGTTCGCGTACAAATGTTAAGTCAAATTACAGACCCGGAACAGTGGCATATATTCTTGGATGGATCCACACCACGGTGCGTGCGCGACGGCGTTCTACGAAACTGACATGCTTGATGGATCATTTCCTTGACATGCGTGGCGGAAAGTGTTGCTGCAAAAAAGCCCATAAACATGATTCATCTGCTATAGCTGTTGGCGTACTTATCTGCATGCCTACACATATACATTCCTACATACATGTATATACAAGTAGTATGCTCACACATACTATACATATGTATGTATGTGCGAATGTGCAACAGCTCAGCCGTGCTTAATCACGAAGCTAGCCAGCCAGCCAGCTGTTAAGACGTCACTGCGATTTGGAGCCACCGCGTAAGCTTAACTTGGCTGTAATGATTGCGGCCTACTTCTCACTGCTATGGCCAAGTAACTGCGTACATAGGAAATGCCCAAAATTAAGTGGCAGAATATGGGGAACTTCAATTTGTATGCAAAGTAGACATTCTTAAAGTGCTGCTTAAATTCATGCGCAAATCTCAATTCAAACGGGTTTGCTTTTCAAGAAAAAAGTGTCCAGAACTGTGCCAGGTACACGATCAATTTTCGAAAAATATTGGCTAAAAGCGGTAATTGAATAACAGGCTTGGGTTATAAAGAGTACACAGATTTCGGCGTGTCAACACTGGCATTCCTCACATCGTGTTTTGCAATTTTTCGAATAACAAATCAAAAATAATTAAATTGTCATTGCGCTTAGCTTGCAAAACTAGTAGATGTTGTTTTGCCATATTTTCATAATTTTCACGATGCCACCAACAAGTGAATAAGATTGGAGATATTTCAGCACAAGCCCCTATGAGTCTTTTCTTTACATCTCTCAATTAATACTCCTAACCGAAATAACTATTTATTCTTGACCAATTAAGTTCCTTTAATCATTGAAATCTTTATTCCTTCTAGCCTGGCAATAGAAGTGACATTTTCAATTTCTTCCAACAACAATCATCTCAATCACAATCATTCAGCACTAAGGCAAGAACCTAAAGCTTCATTTACGTTTTGAAGATGACACGTCTTGAAGCTGATAAGTATTATTCGTTTTAATCATATACTGACATTCGTCCCATGCCAAAACTTTATTTCATCGTCTGCATATTCCCAAGACACGTTTAATTCGAACCCAACAAAAGAACATCATTCCGTTTTCAGTGATAACAATAACAACAATCCAGTTGCATCTAACTCAATCACAATCAATCGAAAGTTTGGACAAGCATTAATTAAGATCATTATTGATGAACGTTTTTTTTAATACTCATTGCGAAAATGATAACGCGAAGAAAAACGCAAAACGCTGAATGCAGATTGCCAACAAATTATAAAGAAGTCGATGCCAAAGGGTAAAAGGTTATCTAGAATAAATTTGAATTTTGATATTCAGATTCTCGAGTACCTATTTCCAGCAGATATAAGCAATAAATTCTAAAAGGAAGCATGATTTAATACAATTAGAGCAAAACAAACTTCATTTATAAAATCCCAACTGCCAAAAGATAACTCTCACGATCATTCCAAATATTCTAAATAGTTTTAATTTGGCATTATATTTTCCCAGTGTTCCCAGCTTCCTATATGTACTCGTAAAGAATATTTTGTGAAATTTATTTGTGAAAACATGTAATTTCTAGTCTGGGTTGACTGATCTTAGATAATCGAGCAAACTAATTTGCATTCAAAGTTCGACTTAATGTCCATAAAGCAATTGTTTATTATGTAACGAAATTATCAGAAACAGTTGCATCGCATCTTAAGCATTATTTTGAATAGTGTTATGAAGAAAAAGGTAGGTCCGGAATGCCAACGACTGGTTATACACAATATAGAGTTCCGAAATTATTGAAATATACAGGATTTGTTAAAAATACATAAATATAACTCATAAAAAGCTAAATACCTATCGAATAACGAGTAGAACATTTTCTCTAGCAAAGATTTTCTAGTAAACTGACGTTTGTTGCACCCATTGAACCTACAAGATGGTGAGCCAATTTCTACGAAACTCTGTATTATATTAGAGTATTATAAAAAGGTTGTAAAATCGTTCCTATGTCAGCTATATGATAGTAAACCGACTTTGATGAAACTTCAGATTGTCACAAAGCACTAAACAAACAACACCTTAAAATACCAAACTTCGTTCCTAAATATTTCTTTCATAAGGCTGCCTATGATATAGTGCTTATATGGCATCTAAAAAAAATAATGGGGCTTACTATGATTTTCGATAAACTTTATCTGCACATGTAAAGGACAAGTCGACATGCCATTTTTGGTGTTCGCAGGTGTTATACTTAAAAAGACTTAGAGGCTCATACAGTCGAACAAAAGGACGATCACACCTTGGACATTCATCTCGTCATGGCTATTCTATCTGTTACATAAATATAGCCACGTAACTATGTGGTATACGCTTTTAGCATCTGGCTGCACAGCTGAAATCTATTTTTTCAATGCATAGAAAGCAAGTTATTATTAGCTGGACATTTGATCTGACAATGAGATTACCAAACACCTATCAATTCAGCTTACGCAATTACCTGGCCCTGAGCGCAGCCTCAAGTTCATATCAAGTACGAATCACCAAAACACACAATGTGGGCTGATCTGTATTTTCTTCAACTTAAGATAGTCACAAATTTCTTATATAAAATATATAATATTCGAGTCTTCGAAGGTAAACACATAACTATTATTTTTTCGGGCATACACCGCAATCGGCGTGCCGGGCGGCACGTGTGGTTGAGCCTTGTAAGCCAAAAGGCTCCTTGGCGTTCACCTCCAGAAAATAGTTGCCCCGCAAGTCGTGCGGCACAGCATAGCCCATAGGCTGTGCAATTCCCGGGCAGCGATTCTCTCGCAGACTTGTTAGCGAACTGCAGCGCTTGCCCAGAAAGTTGCGTTCGTTTCCTGGAAATATGGTCTCGGCATAGTAGCGCCAGGCCCTGGCATGGGCACAGGTTACCGAAAGGCAGCCGGTGGGTAGGGGGCTGAGTCCACTAGGATAGAAGTCGACATCGCCGAGGGGATCCCGCTTGCCTAGAACTCCCGGATTACTGTGTATGACGTCGATGAATTTGGCATCGCCGCGCAGCAGACCCGACAGCACCTCACCCTCGTTGAAGCAGGGCTTTGCGGGGTCCAGGCCGGTGATGCGTGGGAGAGTTTTGTTCGTCAACAGCTGGAGGTGTCTGCCCGCAGCACCCACAATATGCGCCCCCAGACTGTGCCCAATCAGATGTATATTTTCCACCGGCACTATTTCCAGCAACCGAACCAGACCCTTCGCAATGCTCTGGCCTATTTCCTCGGTGTTGAAAGCGGACCAAGTGTAAAGAGTATCCACAAAGCTGGCCGCATCCACTGCCTACGAAGAACAATACATAGTGGCAGCTCTACATGGTCAGTCACTTTTTGGACTTACCACAAAGTTCACATCGCCGCGACAGTTGTAGGCTTGGGATATCAGATCGATGGCGTCGGTATCATTAATGGTTGTTGTCCAGCCAGTCGCCATAATGACGACCTTCTTCTTAGCATCGAACTCGGGACTGCGCCACATTCCATCGGCCTTCAGCAGTGGATAGTTGTATTTATTGCAGGCTGTCCTCAGCTGAAAGTTCATCTCTTCTATGTTCGGCGTCACCTTCGACTTGATGGTTTGAGAGGACAACGCTGTGGAGCCTGCAATTGAAAGCATTCAAGACATGGCGCTGCAGTTCGGGCTCAACTTTTACTTTCGCTTTCACTCACATAAAGAATTGATCGAAGTGGACACAAACTCGAAGGGGTAGCCCGCAATCAACTGCTTGCTACCATCCAATAAACCCTGTGGGGTGGGCAGCACATTGGAATTGACAATGCCGCGACCAACACTGCCCACAGAGTCCAGTACATCGGGTAATGTGAACTGGACAGCAGCCCCGGGCGCCGGTAACAGCAGCACCAGCAGCACCAGAAGCTGGCACAGCAGCACTCGAAACATTGGTAGTTGCTTTTGCATTTTGGCTCGATTGGAAATGAAATGGGAATACGGGACTATCAGCGACTAAATTGCAACTGAATGCCGGAAACATCTGACAAAAATATTTATAGTGCGATGCCGACAACGCCGCCGCTCCCACCAACCACTGACGTCTACTACATCCATATGTTTCGCGCGCATCAATCAGATAAGGTGCACTTGTCACTTAATTAGGTTCTACATCTAAAACCGGAATGTTCCCATATGGTCGCTCGCCTTGGCTCACGGCGTCAGTCGCCGGCTGCCAGCGGAGTGGCCTGCAGCCGCATGCCTTACGCTCATCTGAATACATTTCAATTCTAATCGCACCGAAATGGATTACGGCCTGAATCACCACTGCTACGATTACTTATTTACCTGCGTATATATAGTACCTTATGTTCATATGTATGTGTGAACGTAGAGCTCAGATTACGAGAATCACATATTAATGCGCCGGCGTACTCCCCAGATCTGTCCATCACGTAAGCGCCCCTATTATCATGCCGCAAGCGTAGACAGACACACAGCAGCAGAGAAACAATTTAAAATTTGCCTTTATTTCTGTTACCAGTTTTCAGTTCAGGTAGAACATAAGATTATTAAGAGAACATGACTGTACTTAGTGAAGTCTCTTCCAAGAATTTTTTAAAACCCGCTGCGCAAATGAACCCCTAGTGGGAATTTATCAAATTTTAAAATAAAATTGTTTTTGTCAAACCTTTTCTTATGAAATTGAAGAATCTTGAAGTCCCATCTTGAAGTCCTATCTGGAAGTCCTCTCGTAAATTTTTGCATTTTTGACTGCTCTATAACAACATTCTACGTTATGATAAGAATATGAAGCCATAGTAGTAGCTGGGTATGGAATATTTGAAATGTGAATTCGGAAATAGAAAGTGAATTTTTTCGATACAGAATGTGAGATTTATCTCCATGAATTTTCCAAGCTCCTCCGAAAAATATTTGTTTATGCTTTTCATTTGAAAAGTTTTTACCCATGAGCTGCTAAGAACTTCCATTTGTACTTTAAGCATATGTTCAATTTTTGTCACTTTGCAAATCCAAGGTATTAATGATGATGGTGATATTATTTTAAATTACTTTTATATTTTTCTAATAACGATATTATCTTTCAGAACAGCATGTTTTATCTGTTTTGGAACCTACCCTTCTTACCAAATCTTTCCCCAAAACTTTATATTCTTCATTCTGTTAGATCTAACCACGTCTTTCGCTGTACCCGTAGGGTAAAAAGGGTATATTAGGTTTGTGCAAAGTATGTAACATGCAGAAGGAAGCATCTCCGACCCCATAAAGTATATATATTCTGAATCAGCATGACGAGAGAAATCGCTCTAGACATGTCCGTCCGTCCGTCCGTCTGTCCGTCTGGATGAACGCAAGGATCTCAGATACTATAAAAGCTAGAATAACCAAAGTTGGCATCCAGATTCTCCTAGGTCCGAGAAAGGACGAGTTTATTTTATTTTTTTTAATTTCCCCTGGGTACAGGGTATTACACTGTCGGGCTTGCTCGACTGTAGCGTTCTCTCTTGTTCTACTAGATATTATTGCAATTTTATAGGCGTTTAGTTTTATTCACCTACGAACATCAGTGTGTGGACTCGTCACGCTGTGCTGATCACTTGACAGTGAGATATATACAAATGTCGAATAACAAATTAATTGTGGCATATATTACTTCTATTATTAAGATACTTGTTTTGCTCATTTTAATTGCAAATGATGTTTACTCCAATTTGTTGCATTAAGGCACTTATCGAGCCTGGGAAATATATTGTACTAGCCCCATTTTGATACAAAGAAATGAAATTTACACCGATCGTTCCTAAAGTAGCCGATTTCTATGAATATGAATTTCGGAATATAGTGAGATATTATTAACATCTAATAAGTATTAAATGTGACCACAATTTCTCCATAAATAAACAAGTTATTCTACTAGGTGTGCATTTACAGCCGATTGTTCCTATGACAGCTATAGAATACAGTGCTTTGATTTTTTACAAACCGTCAGAATACAGTGAAGCAGTAAAAAGAAAACATAATACCTTATATTTGGGTTCGATATCTCAAAAAGAAATAAAATTTTCGTTCCAAAAATAAATTCTCCATTAATTCTTCCTATCCTTACATACCAGGTTTCTTTAAATATCTGGATCAACAAACAAGTTATTCCTCTAAGAATAATTTATGCACCGATTATTCCTATGACAATAATTCCTATACAATAATGAAGCTACATGTAATTTGTAATAAACTTGCTCCGCATATGGGTAATGCAAGGCTACATGCCACCTTTAGGGTCCCTAGCTGTTATGGTTCAGAAGTTCTCAAGGTTCATACAAACGAACAGTTGGACCGATGGATTATTTCTGCTATGTTTACATACATTTGCTAACTTTTTGGTTTACACTGTAACAAAGTCTACTTGTAAAACAATAATCTTTATACTCAAAATATATGATATGTTTTTATTAAATATCACGACCGATCGAATTGAATGCGTGCAGCAGACTAAGAGTGGAAACAGTTCACATGACAGCTAGTGGGCTCCATCCAACCCATACAGGTATTACTCACAACGCCCGCATGTGGTGCCAACTACATCTATGGACCCTTCACCAGCATTTTGTCCGTAGGGCCGACGCGAATTCACATCCAACATGTAATCGCCCTTAATGCTCATTGGGGTGGAATAGCCCATTGGATAGGCCATGCCTGGGCATTTACCTTCGCGCAAACTGCTCAGCGAGCGACATCGGACGGCCAAGAAGTTGTCTTCGTTTCCCGGATAGATGGACTCCTCAAAGTATTGCCAAGCTCGCTCATGCGAGCAATCCAAATCCAGCGCCAAGCAGCCAGGTGCGATGGGACCCAGGCCGCCGGGATAGAAGTCCACATCGCCCAGTGGACCGCGCTGGCCCACCACACCCGGGCTGCTGTGAATGATGTCAATGAATGCGGCATCGCCACGCAGCAAACCGGACAACACCTCCCCCTCGTTGAAGCACGGCTTGGCGGGATCTAGGCCCGTAATGCGCCTCAGACTGCTGTTGGTTAGTTCTTGATAGTGGCGCCCAGCAGAGCCCACTATATGAGCGCCCAAGCTGTGGCCAATCAAGTGCACCCTCTCAATGGGTACTATGTGGGATAAATGTATAAGACCACGAGCCAGGTACTCGCCAATAATTTCCGTATTGAGTGCCGACCAGACGTACAACGTATCTATGAAGCGTGCCACGTCGAGTGCCTGAAATGTGAAAGTAACGCCAGCCCGATTATTAACCATCCTTTCTCTCTCGAAATAGCCATGTCTCTATGAACACAAAGATCGCAGAAAACTGTATACAACATTTGGCGTCTCTAGGTCTTATAGTCTGTGAGATCCAAGTGTTCATACAGACAGACAGAATAAGAATATATATATTTTTCCTTCTGCCTGTTACAGTTTTTCCCTTCCCGCAAACCTAATATACTCTGGGATCTTTTAGGTACAGAGTTCAAAAGTTGTTGGTATAACATGTACTTTTAAGATGGTCGGCCTTTTGACCACGATATAAGGTCTGCAATAAATTTAATCTGCATAAAAGGAGTCACATACCAAGTTTGCTATCCCTAACTGTTATATCCCAAAACATCTAGTATTTCCCTAGAACATGGGATCTGAGACGCCTACTCAGATGCATTTCCTTCTTTACTCTTCAGGTACAAGGTACGCTAACTTCTTGGTGTGGTTCTTTGGCTTAGCCACTCACCACAAAATTAACATCGCCGCGACAATTGTAGGCCTTCTCGAACGCATCAATGGCCTCCGAGTTGTTGATATTTGTGGTCCAGCCGGTGGCCAAAATGACGACCTTCTTCTTCGGATCAAAGTTTGGACTGCGCCACATTTCTTCGGCTGCGAGCAGCGGGAAGCTATCGCGGTGACAGTTGTTTCGCAGCTGAAAATGCATGCGACTGACATTGGGTTGAACCTGGGACTGTATAATACCGGTGGCTACAACATTGGAGCCTAGACAACGGCGAGGCAGTGTCAATCAGTGTTGGGATCAATCCTCGGACAGGCACTCTACTCACATAGCTTATTTATTACGCTGATTGCGAGAGCAAGCGGCACACCCGCCACATACTGCTCGGTCTGCAGAGCCAGCTCCTGAGCTGCCTGAGTGATGTTAGCCAGAGGCAGGCCCGGCAGGGTCAGCTGAGCTGCAGCCAGAGGCAGCAATATGGCGGCCAGCATCGGGAAGTGTGACAGCAGCATGGTGTGTGGTAAGTACTGGATGGCGTACTACCATCGCAGCCCTATTTATGCACAGAATTATGAGGGTGTCTCCGCCCACATGCAACATGAGTTGTTATCTTTCTAAATTGAGCGACAATATACCCCCATTGGGTTAAAGGGGAGTTTCTTCCACTCAAAGAGTGATATGCAACGGAGAAAGTTTTTTTATAAACTATGCCAATTCTACCCTCAAGTCTGCAATAAAGTTTAGCGCTATGTTTAGTCCCCTATTCTGAACAAATAGATCACAAACTTCCTATGGGTATGTTGAAATGGCCCCGAAAATATGATCCCGAAAAGTGATCTTAAACATATATTCCACTTTCAGTGTGATTTTTATTTCGGGGAATAACGCCTAGCTAGACACTGCATTGCCTGAACATTATATATTTAAATATTATCATAAAATGTGATTTTAAAAATCAACCGAAAGACTTAAGCCTGACATTCAGCTCTGATATTATATAGATCGGTTTTCACATCTCAAATCTTCATCTCACCCACTTCAGATCTGTTAAAAAACCGTTTAGGATGCAGAGACTTTGGGAATTACAAAATTATTTCGTTGAAATAAGTACCACACCTATAACGTTATTCTTCCACTTTAAAAGCTACGCTATTTTTGTGGTTGTGTGTCAGATACAGGAACAGAAACCCGCTTTGGCTTCAATTAACGTGTTTGCTCGATTTGTTGCCCAAAACTGTAGGTATGTTTACACACATGTCACACATGAGTTGCTGCCATGTTTTCTGAGTTGCATGTTTTCATTTCATCCAGATGGATGGATCGACAAACAGACGGATATGTCTAGATCAACTCGACTCAAGGCAAGGCAGTACAAGCTGTGTATGAGCGCAAACGCCTAAGCAATCACATAAAATGTACTTATTTGTAGAACTGAGGGACGCTTCAGTTTAAAAGATAGCTAGACGCTACAAGGAAGTTTATGGAACGGGACGGAACAGAAAGAGAGACGAAAGCTTAGAAAGAGAAGCTCCAATTTCGAATCTTCGGAAAATATTCATTTTAAATTAGAAAATAAAGAAAATATCAAAGAAGTTGATATATGGTTGATATATGGAGGGTTAGACGTCTCACATTAAACTATCTTAATTTCAGGGAAAACAATTAGAAGCCGGGTGTCCCAAAAAACACATTTTCTGCGTATTCACATAAGGCATCTAATATTCAGAAATATATTACTCCAATTGTAAAACAGCAGCCCCATTTCTAGGAAACTAAGTGCGTGGTTGATTATATTTTACTCCTCCACCATCCCAATCCAACCTAAGCGAACCCCTTTGCCAGGCCGACTATTAATTCCTCGAGCTATAGAATGTTTCGAAAACGCTGTCTTAGGTACGGTGCAGAAATAAAGCTTAGTGTCAAGAACTTGTTTATTTTTAAAGATTTGGTGGCAATTTGTTTTAATGATTTTTATAATACCTGGCCATAATCTGCACCAAAAAGAAAAGAACAAACACATGACTCGTTCTTCTCGTTACGTTACTCATAGTAACAGACATATATATTTTATATAGCCGCACCAATAATGTCTCTCCATTGCCATTGAAGTGCACATATGCACATGCTCATTGATTCGCTAACCAAACGATCCACACCCGATCTTTGTTACTAAATTCGTCAACACAAAGCATTATCATTCATTCGTGACCTTCAAATTTTGCAACATTGTCAGATTTGACAGCTACCCGAATATATAGTATATTATAAACATGTCGTCTGAGCGCAGCAATAAAGCCTCATTGCAAAGTCTTAACTAAATATGTTTAGTTGTAAAGTTATGGATGAAATCATGTGGGGCTCTCATATCAAATACCCTACACCATTTTCCTTGAATTGATAGCAATACCCAGCAATTTGTTGAAGAATAGTATCGCTGAGTCAGTCCTCAAGAGCTAAAGCGCTATTAAATAATAGCATCCAATATAAAACGAGAAAGGTAACATCTTAATGGTTATTTCACGTAAAACCAACGAAATACCCTACACCCTTTTCCTTGAATTGATGGAAATACCCAGCAATTTGTGGAAGAATCGCGTCGAAGAATCGGTTTTGCTCAGTCAGTCTTCAAGAGCTAAAGCGCTATTAAATAATAGCATCCAATATAAAAGCGAGAAAGGTAACATCTTAATGGTTACTTCACGTAAAACCAACGAAATACCCTACACCCTTTTCCTTGAATTGATGGAAATACCCAGCAATTTGTGGAAGAATCGGATTTGCTCAGTCAGTCTTCAAGTGCTAAAGCGCTATTAAATAATAGCATCCAATATAAAAGCGAGAAAGGTAACATCTTAATGGTTACTTCACGTAAACCCAGATGTCATGAACTAATATCGAATATGATACAAATTCGGCAGCCTCCAAAAAAAATATTGGCAAATGTATTATACTTTCATGGACCTCCCACCCTCCGCTTACGAAACTCACTTATCTATGTGGGCATTTGGCAACAGTAGCAGCAAACTATTTGGCTGGTCTATATAAATATTTGCTCTAGCTATACCCCCGACATACCTACATTTGTACGTAATTCATTCATACTGATATATATATACTATAAATATACACATACTATATATGTTAGTAGACTCGCGTCGTATTATGAGATACATAACAAGTTGGTCTTTGTGCAATCTTTCGTACATACACACACGCTTTTCGGAGCTACAGCTACAGCCAGAGTCTACAGCTCTGCTTCGGTAAGCTCAAGCGTGTCACGCACCAGCCCAATATACCCATTCCCCACTTATACCGACCGTAGACCCGCATTTCTTATACTCATATTTGCAGTCTGCTATTGACTGAATTACGCTCTTAATTGCTCCCAATTATGAACCAGCAATAACACTATCCAACAGCTACTTGTATTTTGGAGTCGTAGTCATTTTTTCACGACTAACATTATATTATGAAGTGAATAGAAAATACTAAGAATACAGAATAACCCACTACCACAGTCCTTCAACTCTAAGAATTGTTAATATAACAATATAATAAAGTAGGCCGATTTTGGTGAAACTTCAAGCCATAGTGAGGCATCATATAAAACCTAGTACTTGTATTGTGACGGAATTATGGTTAAGAAGGAAGTTGTTGGTCGGGCCCTTTGTAGCTATACAGTAAGATATAGTGCGCCAATTTTGAAAAAACTTCAGACTATAGTGAGACATCATAAAAAAGTCATGAATATAAATAAAACATTGTAAGGATATTAAGATAAATTAAGAAGTTGTGCGTAATCGGAATGTTTTTTACCCTGGTCCTATAAGATATAGTGCGTCGATTTCAATGAAACTATAGTGATGCATCATATAAAGGTCATAAATATCAATAAAGCTCTGTACGGATATTATGACGAAGCCTACTCAGCTTATCGTAATGAGAATGTTTTTGGTAATACAGAGGCATTGAAAAAGTAAATATTGTAAATATAAATTGTAAATAAATTTGGTTATCATAATTTTCAAACAATTTGTTGTGTCAAAACTTGGTTTTAGCACCGATCCTTCCTTCGGCATCTTTATAATATAATACTGCTTTCTTGCTCCTCTTATTCAAAAGCTCTCGATATTCATAAAGACGGACGTCTGTTAGTGCGTAGGTTTCTTTCGCGTCTTCATACTGATAATATATACCCAGATCATGGACTAAGTATTTGCCATTTTTCGTTGCTGTTAGTGTTGCGAATGCGGAAGCACATCATACATTTGTGGCGAGTTGCAAGTGCAAATTAATGGCCAAATACTACGAACACAAAGAGATATTTACGGGCTATACATATGCGAGTATGGACAAATTGTTGCTTTCAGATATACTTGTATAATGGAGCGAGGGCGTTCGAGAGTATGGTAGATAGTTGGATGTATAAGTATGTCTTTTTAATCAGCATGTCAAACCATGCTCGCTATGTTCGTCTGTATGAACGCAAAGTTCTCGGCATATATGGGAGGTAGAATCACAAAACTTGTTGAGCAATCGAATGCTTCTATTTTGATTCCAGCTATCTCTCTCTCTCTCTCTCTCTCTCTCTACTCTAATCAAGTCACCATTATTGGCTTTTTTAGAACTACTGTAATACTCCGAATTAATCGCTACAGCCTCAATATGTAATAGTGCATAAATATTACTTATCGTCCGATCAAATCTAATTGAAATATCATTTGTTGCAATGTCACGCAGTTCTGTTTATTTTGCATAAATCAATCAAAAATATTACCTAGAACATAAATAAATCGAATTCCCGGGACAGAAACACGTTGCGAATTCACGAATTCAATATTTTGCCGAACTGACAATTGTGATAGACTCGTAGCAGTATCAGCTGAAAATGTGTGTATTTCTGATTAATAATGTGGGAGGCCTAATGTGAGGCCAAACGCATACTAATGTGTGGCATAAAGAAACAAAATACCGATTACAAATTACACATGTGAACAAATTTGGTGAACATTTGTTGCAAATGTTTACCCATTTAATGGCCTATTTTTCAGAAGATATGGCAGGGTACTCAGGTCTCAGCAGGATGCCAATAAAATTAAGTTTTTGGCAACACACGTCATGGGGCAGGGCAGGAGCTGTATAAATTATAATGCAATCGAATGTATCGCCGAGTTATATTCATGAAGGCAGCCATGTAATGCTGATGTGTTCGTATAATCACAAATTATCGGTATGCTTGTCTGTGTGTATTGAGGCGAGCCTTTTACATCACAGCCAATCAAAGAGAAGACAGGCACATTCAACGAACCTTCAATACTCTTCACAGGCATATCAACAATTCTATACAAAAGATATGATTTGTAGTTGCCGGAACCGATCAATAAATCGACAGTGAAGGAACAATTTCAAGAGATCTTTTCAACTCCAGTCGCTTGCGGATTGAAATTGTACTTCGTCCAAGCCCACAGTATTTTAAAGAGTATAGAAAGCCAACGAGCCGAATAGTTAGCTATCGCTGGTATTGCTTTTTTGGTTGTTGTTGTTGTTGTTTTCGTCGGTTTTGTTATTGTTGTGGGTGAAGAGAAGGAAAACGAGGAAAATGTGTGCGAAAACAAAGTATATAAGTGGTACATGGTTTGTGGAAAATAAATCAGTTGACTTAAACCAGTTCGCCGTTTCGGTTAGCCCAGCTCTCGAGTACTGAAAAATCTTTGAAGGATGCACGCCCATTGGTCCAATCTGACGAAGCTCTGCATTGTGCTGATGCTGCAGATCCAGCTATCGCGTCAGAGCTATGTCGGCAGTGAACTGCACGCCCCCAGTGTTCATGGACTGGCGGCCGGTATTCTGGGAAACTTTGCGGGCGCTCAGAGTGGTGGGGAGGCGCTCCTCGGCCTGGAGAGCGGAAGTCCGTTGAGCTCAGGACATGAGGAGGTCAGTGAGCACGAGATATCAGGGGCGACAGACTATGGCTATAGCGGTGGCGAGGAATATGCCGAGGCGGCTGCCAGTGAGGGGCATGAGCAGTACGAAGCACCCCAATTTCTGGGCAAGGAGTACGATGCCATCGAACATGGCCATATCGGCGGCCTGGACTTGGAGCTCGACAGTAAGCCGGTGCCAGGCATTGATCATGGCAAGAATGCCTTCAGCTATAGCACGCTGTACGAGTTCAAGGATCGAGAGCACAGCTTCCATTGAGCAGCATACATGTCTCTAACTGGTTATAGGTTTGCTTGCACTCTTTAGTCCTACATTGTTTTTTTTTTCTCGACGCGTATTTAGTATAAACAATAAAAAAACGAACAGAAAGCTGCAAGTCAGAGTGCAATTATTTTGCTTGGAATAGGAATCGTTATGTTGTGGGGATCTCAAGATTCCCAGTATGCCGAGACTGTAATCATTTCCTTGACACATATGTATCGTAGTAAACGGATTTCAATCAAATTTCAGAAAATATTTTAGATAAGGTTTAAAGATTACTGAAGCATATGGCTAAGACAAGTCTACAAACCAGACCAAACACCAAGGTCTCCTTAGCTGTGATTATTCAAACGTTCTCGACGCTCACACAGACGGACAGTCGGAAATGCTATTTATAACATTATGCCATTATCACTTATAAGTAGAATAAGTAAATCTATTAAAAAAAAATTAAGAGTTAAACGTATTAGCCTATCAGCAACCACTTCAATACGTGATACTTTGTATACCCTGTACCCGTAGGTAAAAAGGGTATATTAGGTTTGTGCGAAGAAGGAAGCATCTCTATTCTGAATCAGCTGACGATATAAATCGATCTAAACATGTCCGTCCGTCGGTCCGTCCGTCTGTCTGGATGAACGCAGGGATCTCAGAAACTATAAAAGCTCGAATAACCAAAGTTGGCATCCAGATTCTCCTAGGTCCGAGAAAGGACGAGTTTATTTTATTTTTTGGAATTTCCCCCCCTTCCCAGGCGACATAATTTCGTCAATACCGTCCACATTTCAAAAGATACATTAACCAAACTGCAAACATTGCACAGATAATTTATACATAATAATCTACTTTTGTTTCAAATTTCATCTAAATCGGTTAATTCTAAGAAAAGTTATTAGCATCAAGTTCGCTCTTCTTCTCCTTTTGCTTCTGCTAGGGGCGCAGATACATCAGTGTCGGAAGTTTCCCTGGATACAGGGTATTTCACTGTCGGGCTTGCTCGACTATAGTGTTCTCTCTTGTTGAAGGTCTGTAATAGTGCGGTACCTAGGCAGATTAAAAACCAGCCATTGGAATTGGAAAATGGATCTACAGAATTACATTTTTTGATCCAAGCTGAGGTATGAGTTCGGGTTAATAGCGGGGTAGGCATGCGCATTAAAGTATTGATTTAAAAGTAATTTTTTATCAAGCAGTACACCTTGATATCTGACGCTGTTTTCCCACTTCACAGCAACAGAATTAAGATACATATAGCCACTTGGAAGGTAGATACTTTTCAACTATTTTATTGCAGTTGCAAGGGTATACCAATTAGTCTATAACCAACACCAGCAGATCGTGGAAAAATTCGTAAAGCTAGTAGAGGTTTCTTTTATCGTCGCCATCGTCATCATACCGGAATTTCCATGGCCACCAGTAGTTTGGCGCACGTTCACATTAGCATCTATGTGCTAATTCGTAGCTCACTAGAACACTATGAACCCGACATCGGTGGAAGAAAAAGAGGAAAAGAAGAGAAAAAAAAACCCACAGTGACACAACGTTAAGCGTTCCGGTTCTTCATTACGCAACTTTAACACATTTTTTAAATAAGGTCAAAACAATTTGAAGCCTACTTGTATTATACTTAAAAGGAAGAGGGCATTCATTGCTATTTTATAGGTATTTTTATTACTTGTGTACACAGCAATTATATTGCAAATAACAAAAATAAGCAAAGTACTCGAACTAAACATAGAGATTACAAAAAAAAAAAAAAGGACCACAAAATTAATAATGAGTAGAGAGTGGGGGACAGTCACGCCTTTTTATCGTTAGGCGTAACTACAATGGTATTCGTTTCGTTGGAATTGGGCTCGCAATCCCTCGGATAAGCGCCTAGCAGCCCAATTTTTCCCAGATGCCGCCGCTCTTCCAGCCACCATTGTTCCAGCCGCTGCCACCACTGTTCCAGCCGCTGCCGCCATTGTTCCAGCCGCTGCCGGCGTTGTTCCAACCGCTGGAAGCAGCCGCCGAAGAAGAAGCTGTGGAATAGGTGGTGGCTGCCTGTGGTGGGGGGCCATACGACTGGCTGGGCACATTATTGTAGCCAGCACCGGCACCGCCCTCATCGACAATCAGCTTAATGGTCTTCACATACTGCTGGGGCTGCGGCTGTGGAATGGCCTGTGGCACCACAATTGGCTGTGGGGCAGGGGCGGGTGCTGGGATGCTATAGCTGATGGGTGCAGGTTGCACGCGTACGACGGGCTGTGGTGCGGGAATCGATATTGGAACTGGAGCGGGTGCCGGAGCGGGAGCTGAGTAGGTGATAGCGGGAGCCGGAGCCGGAGCTGGAGCTGAGTAGGTGATGGCGGGCTGCGCGACGGGGGCCGAGTAGCTAACCGCCGGTGCAGAATAGGTAACAGCAGGGGCCGAGTATGTGATGGCGGGTGCGGGCTGAGGTGCAGGGACGCTCACGACGGGGGCGGGAGCAGGTGCCCAGCTTGAACCGGCGCTAGAGCCAGCATAGGAGCTCGAGTAGCTGCCACTGTTGTAGCCACCGCCAGAGTAGCCGCTAGAGCGAGCATAGGACTGCGGCTGTTCAATGACTTTAATGACTTTGATAACTTGCTCGCCACCATAGCCGCCGCCATAGCCGCCGCCGTAACCGCCACCATAGCTGCCACCACCGCCGTAGCTGGCACCACCACCATAGCTGCCACCACCGCCGTAGCTGTTGCCGCTGTACACTGGCCGGCTCGGCTGTGTATAATATCCCTGATTATAGCCACCTGAGTAGCCGCCGTTGCCGTAACTGTAGCCGCCACCGCCACCGCTACCACCGGAACTACCGCCTCCCAGTCCACCGCCGCCAAGTGCCCTTAGAAGCGCCAACTTAGCACCAAGCAGCGCCTGTGCGGGTACTGTGAGTGCCAACAAGGCAACTAGAACACAACAGTATGCTTTCATCTTTCGTTGCAATGTGTGTGTGTGAGTCTCTCTATTTGTATGTATGTGTGTGTATGGTCGTGTGTGTGCTTCCAGGGCCTTCGCCAAAACTAAACTGATGTCCCAAGCATCAATACGCACAAATTTATAGGCCAACCGGTGTGTGAAGTCTCTTGATCGCCGGAGAGGCTGTGACAACCGCAGTGTGTGTCGTTCTAATAATACCGAAAAAAAAAAACATCGCCGCGCCCCTCGTTAGGCGCTCAATTTGGGCTCTTCTGGCATCGACGCCGGCACCGACGCCGGCACCGACACTGACACGCACAATGCGCACACTGTCCCAGAGTCGGGCGGTCAGTCGCGCAGTCGCGCAGCCGCGCAGTCGCAGTCTTTAGTTTCAAGTCGTTCCATGCCCCTGCACCTCGGTCTGGTTATCATTTGGCAAACAAATAGTCTGTTGTTTGTTTAATTCATAAATATGTATATAGTCTCTACACATGTACCTTCATTTATCTACTCGTATATACATAGTATTACTGAATAGCACGCCAATACTGAAACGGCCCAACCTAACTAGCCATCCATCCGTCCATCCATCCATCCAACAGACAGTCAGTCAAGCAGTCAGGTAGTCAGTCAACTCAACTATTTAACCATAAAGTGAGATATTTTACCGCATCTCTGTGCAAACAAAACGTGCACGCGCTCTGCTGTACACCGTCAAACAATTCGCAAGATGGATTTCGTGGGCCCAGCTTCAGTGATTCCCAAAATCATAACTACAGTACCTATACGAATATGCGAGGCACGTTTCAGAGATATAGATATACTCAAATAATGGAATTGGTGCTATAAAGATACGATTTCCTTTCGTTATATTGAACCAAAGCTATTCAAGGAATATACAGCATTTACCATGTTTTTAGTACGAACTTGTCCATATCACTCGACTCGATTTAGAGATTAGGTCTAACTTATAAATACCTCGGATACGAAATCATGATGCATCAAGGAGGTAATTATACTTTGAGGGAATTGTGGACCGACTGTTTCTATGACAACTATACGATATGGCCGATTTTGTGAAGAATTCAAAGTAAAGACAACTATTATATAAAGACCTTAAATACCATGTTTAGTTATGATAACGTAATATACATACAAGGATCTTTGCACTGATCGTTCTCATTGTACAAGTATCTGTATATTGAACTGATTCTGATGAAACTTGGTTGGACACCATAGACAAATCAAAATACCAAATTTATCTTTAAAAGCAAAAAAGTTTATCGTCTATGCTTGATTTTTGCACCGAGCGTTTCTACGACAGCTAAATAAGTATATATAAGGCTATGTATAATTCGTAATCAAATAAATTTGCAAATGTATAAGACAAATCTACTTAAGAAATTTGGTTACCGTAGCTCTTATGGTGGAAAAGTTATCGCGGTTCATACAGACGAACAGACGATCAGGCATGTCTATATGGACTCGCCACGAAAAAAAGTAAAAGTCTTCAAAAATAATTACTCAGAGAACAGTCCTCGTACATACGTGTTCGTATACATATGTAGAGCTGTAAATATACTCAGACTTATATTCACATATTGACATTCATTCAGCGCACTCCCTGAGCCATCTAGCTTCTATTGTAGGTATATATCTCCATACACAAGTATATACATATACATACAAACATACATAACTACACGTAGCATTTGGAGATGATGTGTTAACTCAGCTAACTCGGCAAATAGTAAATCGGTCGGTCTAAGATTGTCAACAAAGTTAACGTTGCGGCTTGGAACGTTTTTTTTTTTTTTTTTTTTTTTGACTGTGCGTAAAGGGCATTATTTCTAAATAAACCTACTGTTTAGAGCATATTAGTTTTATGCTTGAATGGCATGCTAATGTACATGATCTGTATGTATGATCTGAAAACCGATTGTTGTTGAGACACATTTCGAGGACATTACGAGCTTTGAGTTGAAGTTTAGACAAAGCATAGCCAGAAAGAGAATATTCAAGTCCATGCAGGCAAGCAAAGCAGTCAATAAAGTTATATAGTTGTGTCATAATACAGTTTTAACTGGAAGCGGTGCAAATAAATCTAGTCAAGGCTCTATAATGAATGATTTGTGAGTTTCTAAAATGTGGTAGAACATGTCACAAAAAAATGAAAATATATCGCGCATACTTGTATTATTAGCTTCAAATCAAACCAATACGATCGCATTTACTGTGCAATTTTTTGCAGTTAGTTAGATTGCAAAGTTTTTTTTTGAAGTGGGGCTCCTCAACAGGTTTTTACACCCAAGACTAGAGAGAAAAGTAATTTTTTTGGTCTAAGAGACATTGCCTAGGAATACCGTTCATAAGAATGGTGGCGTGGAAGAACATACTCTCTCATATACATAGGATAGAAAAAGACATATTTATTACCAAACAGAAAACACAAAAATAGCAGACCATATGTTATAGAAAAGTCAACATACCTACTATTTGTTACTTTCGCCTTTTAGCTTAACCAAATTATTAAATTTCAAACTAATTGCTTAATTTGTAAAATTTGAAGCCATGTATGGTTGTTTGTAAGAAACTTAATACGCAAACAGATCAAACAAGTCTACTTACCCCAAGCTAACTCTAATGGTTGAGAAGTTATCGAGGTTCATACAGACGGCTAGGCAGCCGATCAGTCTGGCTTGCCAATATCGATTCGTCACGTCATGATGATCATATATATATATACTTGTATGCCTACAACAAAGTGTATAAACAAGTTCTTGATTAATTATATTATTTGTATTTTGTTAAATATGTAGAAATCCACTTTTTAAACATTTTTATGAAGACTTTTTCACTATTGATAATACAGGTAGGTGTTCTACCAATATTGACACTAACACTGACGTACAAGTATAACTACATAAGCAGTATTTTAATTGACTCATACCTCCGACTTTGTATGTCTACGATATAACCACTGAAAACATACTTGGGAATTCTAGTCAATTGTTGTCTTCATGAATGATTGATTCATACTTGATCCCAGAATAGTCAAGCATGAAGAATGGCTCAAAATTGCAATCAGTCTGTTTTCTATATAGATATATCTGAGATGAAAGACTTGGATGTTATATACAGAATTAAAACACCCCTTTTAAACCCTGTACCCGTAGGGTAAAAAGGGTACATTAGGTTTGTGCAAAGTATGTAACTTGCAGAAGGAGGCATCCCCGACCCCATAAAGTAATATATTCTGAACCAGCATGACGAGAGAAATCGATCTAGACATGTCCGTCCGTCTGTCTGGATGAACGCAAGGAAGTCAGAAACTATAAAAGCTGGAATAACCAAATTTGGTATCCAGATTCTCCTAGGTCCGGGAAAGTACGAGTTTATTTTATTTTTTTTTTTTTGAAAACGGGTACAGGGTATAAAAATATTCCATGGGACTATATTTTTCGCTTAATTATTTCTTGAGTGTTCTGACATAATATCATTCATCATTGGATGAACGATTTATCATAGTAGGTATTATTATTTACAGCAAAAGTTCTGTGTTCTGTTACTGAAGCATATCCCAAAGATCATAAGGCACCTCCAATTTATGAAGACTCTTAAATTTGACCAAAAATCGATTTCGAATGAAAAGTACATTTTTGCGTAGCACTTTTTATGAGAAATTCCCTTGGGCTTACGAGCCAAAAAGTTTACAGCCACACATCTACAGCTATAGATCTAAGCAGTGTCCCCCCCCCCCCCCCCCCCCTTCAGTAATAGTCGGTAAAGGCAATAAAAAATCAGCGTTGGATGAAACAATGCGTTCCGATGTTTCGGGGCTTAGCGCCTCATTACCGTGTTATGCCATTGCCAGTACGCTGTGTTTGAAATTGGTTTTATATTTCGACACATTTTTAGCAAGTCGATATGAAATGCTCTTGTGGCTTTATGTCTGCAAGTAGTTGCCGGACACTGGCTAAGTGAATGTGCAAATAGGTGTTGGGGGAGAACGTGGGCGTGGCACGCGGGTGATGCTCACAATTCAATTGGACGTTTTGAAGGTCAGCCTTGTTAGATGGTTGCATGTTTTCCGATTGTTTGCTATTGAGACTTGCAGCAAATTGATGCTACTAGGTGTGAAAAAACTATTCGAAAAGTGTTGGTGGGGGGTGCCATTGAAATTAAAGCTATGGGGGCTCTGATAATTATTGCCCAGCAGCGAAACACGGGAAGCGATTAAAACTATACGACTTTATTTACATTTTATTTATGTTCGTTATAAAATTAGGAATACAAAAAAAAAACCGCACACATTAAGATTAGCATTCAAGTGTAAAAAGTCCATTTCGTTATGCCATTATTAGCACCAAGGGCCGCCACCAAGACCAGCAGGGGCCCCATAGCCCAGACCGAAGCCGCCTCCAACGCCATAGCCGCCACCAACGCCATAGCCGACTGGCAGCGCCGAAGCACCGACGAAGCCGGCACCGCCGGCTAGCACGGGAGAGGCCACGGATGTCACTACTGGTGTGACGACTGCCGATGTGGAGACGGCAGGCAGGGCAGCGCCGGCAAATCCACCGCCGTAGCCGCCATATCCGGCGCCATATCCACCGCTATATCCACCGCCATAGCCGCCAATGCCACCAATGCCGCCGCTGCTGGGTACCACCGATACCTTGATGACCTTTATAATGTTCTCGCCGCCGTATCCACCGCCATAACCACCGTATCCGCCGCCGTAGCCGCCATATCCCCCGCCGTAACCTCCGTTGTAACCACCTCCATAGCCATTGCCATAGCCCACTCCGCCTCCACCAACTGCTCCAGCACCTAGCAGCAGACCCAACTTGCCAAAGGTGGCCTGGCTCGGGGTCACCAAAGCAGCGAAGAGGAGCGCAGCGGCGTAGACGTATAATTTCATATTTAACCTTTTAGTCAGACTCGGACTGGGACGGGATGGCGACACTTCGATACTTGCTGGTTCACTGTTCAACTCTGCAGACCGACCGCGACCATTTATAGACCTCTGTTGGCCCGTAAAGACAATAACCGCATATTGTTCTACTTGGCGGCTGCAATGTGTGAAACAATTACTCAATGGCCGAGGGCCATTTGGCGACCCAAGCACTCGTATAAGGCCGACGGCACACACACAAATATGCCAAAGTCAATAAGCCAAATAGTACTCGTATTTGGTCTGTTTGCAGTTCTCGCTTACCCAGAACTGTGCGACTAACTTGTGATTGAATAAAATTAGCGGTCTATTTTTGTTTGTCAACAATGCAGTGTGCTTTTTCCCTCGTAACCGGAAATGGCCTAAAGTTACGGAGAACATTGCTTTATCTATCACTGCTCACTAAACTTTCGGCTCTAAGCAAACTAAATACAAAAAATATAAATTCAAAAAAAAAAAAAACAACAAAATCAATAAAGTCTTCTGTTAGCACCCTTTGACTGCCTACTGTTCCAAATTGTGGCGCGGCCAATCATACATCTATCTATGGAGGCTGCCTCAAAATGACAAACAACAACAACACCTACGGAAGTCTCATCAAGCTACTGCAAAGCTATCACCACAAGACTGACATCAAAGCCAGCACTAAGCCAAACACTTTGTCGCAGAACAACATCAAAAAGCAAAGGCAGGGGAAGAGAAAAAATGTGAGGGCTTCACAGAAGCAACTGCTTTACAGCACCGACTGGGAGAAGTCGGCACTTGTGAATAATTTCCGTAAGCGTGGCTGGCAGAACGTACCGCCCTCCGATGGTGAATGGAACTTCTATTGGGCAGGCATACAAAATTGTCGTTACATTTTCTGCGTTGATCATCCCTATCGCATGCGCAACGATCAGTGAGTTCCCTAGCATTTAAACCGATCACTCACCGTACCCAGACCCCTTCTAGGATGATCAACCACTTTCCGAACTCGACGGAGTTGTCACGCAAGGACCTGCTGCTGAAGAACATTAAGCGCTATCGCAAAGATTTGGAGCGCAAAGGCGATCCATTGGCCGCCATGTATCCGACTGACGACAGCAAGCTGGGCATAGGCGGTACGCGCTACATCCATTTGGACATAATACCCATGACGTTTGTGCTGCCCGCAGGTAGCTACGAACCACCACCACATCCGTAGCGTACCAATTCAGTTTCGCATCGCATCCGCAGATTACAATTTGTTCGTGAAGGAGTACCAGAAGAGTCCAAGCAGCACCTGGATTGTAAAGCCGTCCAGCAAGTCCCAGGGCGTGGGCATCTTCCTGGTCAATAACCTTTCGAAGCTGAAAAAATACGCCTGCGATGCTCGCACCCTCCATGTACCACACCTCAATCGGGCAACTTGTGTTATCTCCAAGTATATTGACAATCCCCTGCTTATTGGCGGCAAGAAGTTCGATTTGCGACTATTCGTGCTGGTCACCACCTACAATCCACTGAAGGCCTACCTCTACAAGGAGGGCTTCTGTCGCTTCTGCACCGAAAAGTACGACCAAACCGAAATCGATAATCTATTCATGCATCTCACAAATGTCAGCATACAGAAGACGAACGTAAGTATCTCTCCCCCATCCTTTCATGACCACATTTCCATGTGCTCATCTATTGGGGCTTGCAGAAAGAATACAATGACATACATGGCGGAAAATGGCCCATTCAGAATCTCTGGCTCTATTTGGACAGCATTCGCGGCGAGGGTGTCTCCGTGCGACTATGGTCTTTGATTACAGAAACCATACTCCACTCCCTGAACGCCGTCGCTCCAATGATGGCCAACGATCCGCACTGCTTTGAAGTCTATGGCTATGACATCATTATCGATAACAATCTCAAGCCTTGGCTAATCGAGATCAACACCTCACCTTCGATGCACTCGACAACGAACAATGATCGCACACTCAAGTATCGTCTAATCGACAATGTGTTGGATGTCGTATTACCGCCTAGTGGTCTTCCGGAGTGAGTAGTTAGCCCCAATCCCATTATCTGAGTCCAATCATCTGAATATTATCTCTATGCGATCATCTGATTCCCATCATCATCTCAATCCTATCATCTCGATCTTAGTTCCATCATCTCAATCCTATCATCTCGATCTTGATTCCATCATCTCAATACTATCGTCTCGATCTTGATTCCATCATCTCAATCCTATCATCTCGATCTTGATTCCATCATCTCAATACTATCATCTCGATCTTGATTCTATCATCTCAATCCTATCATCTCGATCTTGATTCCACCATCTCAATCCTATCATCTCGATCTTGATTCCATCATCTCAATCCTATCATCTCGATCTTGATTCCATCATCTCAATACTATCGTCTCGATCTTGATTCCATCATCTCAATCCTATCATCTCGATCTTATTCCATCATCTCAATCCTATTATTGTAATCCCATCGGAATTCCGCCATCTCTTAAAACTCTGCCCATCCATTCATCAACAGCATCCACTGGGACAAAACCCCGGACAAAGCTGCTTTGAGAAATTTTACTCTATTGACGTCAGAAACGGAACAGCGCTACAAGAGAATAACCGGCCAATTACGCAAATCCAAAGGAAGAGCGATCACCGATATCAGGAAACGCGTCCTGGTCCGAAAGCTGGCCCGTTCCAAGCCCAACAATCTGACCAGTCGAAAGAAGTAATAATGATCAATAAGCGTACTAGGATTGGATTCTCAATTATCGCATTTAATTCGTAACTTAAATGTAAAAATATTTCAGATAGATTTCGTTATTTACAAATTGGTAAATAGTACAAAACATAATTGGTATCTTTCAAGAATTTTTAATATAGCTACAGCTATAGCTGCCAATACATACTATATGTTATATATATATATCGTATGTTCGTCCGAATGTTTAAATAGTTCGTTCTTTTTTTTATTTTGTCTTCTTTCTTTCGTTCGTTTTTGCTCAAAATATTTTGTTAAGTAATTTACAAAGTCAAAGTCAGAGTAAACAGAACAATTTTAGTTTCACTTATAAATACATATATGAACGGGTATTCGTACCTAAGAGTTATTATATATATGTATGTATAAATAGCAAAAAATATATATATATATTACGAAAAAAAAAAAAAACGCGCTGCAGAAGAAGGAACTGATTTATACAAAAAATATATATATTTACAATGGTTAGCTTAATTGTTAATAATAATTATTAGGTATTATTGTTTCGAGCTTACTTTTAAGTACAAACAAACTGCTTAAACAATTCTTTACAATGCTTTAATAAACTTCTTTGATTCTTTGATTTGAACGGAAACTAAAACTGAGTTCAACAAGAAAAGATTTGCACAATTATTTCTCTACATATATATATATATATATATATATTTCTATGCATATATATATAGTATATGGTTAGCTCAACGTTTGTATTGAAATTCTAACTTATTTGTTAAACTAAACTGAATTTTTAATATTTTAAATTTTTTAGTTTTTACATTTGTGTGAACCCTAATTATTTATCTGACTCTGTAATTCTCACATGTATGGAATGGAAAATTCTCCTGATCCTACAGTATACTCGTATATTTCATGATATCGTCCTGCTATATGATGTCTGTGTTATCCTGTTCCTCTTAAAGCAAAGCGCGTCCCTTTAATAGCTAAATAATTATTGCATTTACATGAAATACTTTGAAGGCTTACAGATAATTTACAATTAACAATATGTTGGTAATGAAGGGTGTGTAGAAATGTTGAAATATGTATAATGTATGTATGTATGCTTAAATACTTAATACACATACATACTACATGTATGTATGTATGTATGTATGTATGTATGTGTATGTTGGTATGTATGTAGTATATCTATCGTTAAATGGTTCATTCGTTGGACACAAGAAACGAAGGCGCAGTCGCAGAAGCAGCCCCAGCCACAGCCGCAGCCACACCCACTTTACTTTGTAATCAACACTCGGTGGCGTAGTAGAATACCTCCACCTCGGTGCTGCTAGTGGTGCTGGTGGTGGTGGTGCTGGTGCTGTTGCTGCCCAGCGGTGTCTGGCAACGCTCCAGAGCGTCCCGTGTGGCGCGCGCCTGCGCCAACACCTATAGTCACACTTTCGAGGCATGCGGCTGAGATCCACCGGTGCCGGAATATTGCGAATGCAAGTGTTGTTGTTGCTGCTGCTGTTGTTGTTGTTGTTGTTGCTGCTGCTTCTGCACCGTCTGATAGGTGGCCTGGGGACCAAGCACGCCGCTCTGTTCCCGTATGGTTACTTGCGTGACGAACGGACCCCGACTCCGGGCGCTGCTGTTGAGGGAAGCGGGCGCATAGCCATTGACTGCTGCTGCCTTCCAATGGGGCTGCGTCTGGGGCGACTGTCCGTGGCTGTGCCCGTGTCCGTGGCCGTGCCCGGGACCGTGTCCGTTGACTGTGATGGGCGAGCCATTCACTTGGGCGTGGCTGTGCTTAATGCTGCCCGCCCGCTTTTGCACCGTCTCGTACTCATAGTAGCTGGACATGGGACGCAGGGTGTTGGCTGACGGTCCACCACCGCCTCCGCCTCCGCCGCCGCTGCTATTTAGACTCGAGGGCGGCAGCTGTTGCTGCACGCTGGCTGGATGATTGTAGAGGCTAATGTCCTGGGAGCGGGCGCTGCGTTGCGAATGATAATGCTGATGACGGCGACTGCAGAAAGAATAGCATAGGCTCATGTATGAATTCGAGTTGTCTATATACATATGTATGTATGTCTATGCATGTACGAGTATGTATGTGAGTGCCACGACCAGAAACCAAAAATCACAAGCAAAAAAGCAAAGCCTACAACGACTCTACGGCAAATGAACGCGATGGGTGTTAGTTTTATGAAATGCCAATTTCCTAGAGTACTTCGAACACACATTTAAACCAAAATGGTCATCCTCAACAGAAATATTTATAAAATGCCAATTGACTCTATTGCCAATTCTGTAGAATACTCTAAAAAGCATTTAACAACTTAAATGGTTAATCCACATTTTCATCTTCAAATAAAACATACATGAACGAATTTGAGTTTCATGAAATGCCTATTTCCTAGAATATTGTGATAAACATTTACAGTGGTAACTGCTTAAAGATTAAACAAAAGAAGCCGTAAATGAGCGAAACTGAACCAAACTTCATCAACCCAGATTCTTCTTTTTCTAGTTATGGCATTCATTTCTAAAATCGGAATCCACAAATTTTTCGTAGTCACAGCCCAACAAAGATTAAGTTTAATTTCATCATCATTTCATAGTCAATAAATTTATTTATTTATCGTAATCATAGAGAACTTTGAGGAAACGCAAGAGATTCTTTACAATTCTTCCTCTCTTCTCATCCGTTTAACAACCACCTAAGTAATTAAGTTGGTTGGTTAACTAAACTGTGATTTAAACTTAATATTTTATGACATGAAGAGACGATTCCCTCAAACTTCACTATTTTTTCTTTGTATGGAGATATATTTACCATTCGGACAACACCTTATTTAACTATTTATTTGTCATCTGCAAACCTCTTTCAAACCTTTCATTGAAAGGTTTATTTGAATCTCGTTAGAACGAACACTTGTGAACTGAGCGGGATCCGGACACTCGGATTGGGTATCTTGTTTGTCTTTAATAAACAAATTATTCTTTTGTCTCCTGGAATCGGATCCTCCACTATTTCTAATCTATACAACTATTTCGTTTAAATTTAAAAAGGCCCAAGACCAGACACTCTCTGATGCATGCGTCTACAATCGCAAGCATACCAAGCGTCTTTAGCTGCAAAAATCTAGACAATTTGTTTATCCCCCTGCGCCTATTTCAGTGAAATCTCATCAATGCGTACGCTTTTTGCCTCTCAAATCTGAACAATTCTTGTATCTACTTGTCGAAATACATTTTACGTATGCATGAGATGATATTAAGATATGATTAAGATATTAATAATCAGATGAATGTGCATAAAGAAGTAGTAAATAAAAATGTTAAATGTGCAGAAGAAGAACATAAATTATTAAAGGAGTATACATATATTTAAGTACTTGTTAGTCAGCGAGATAAAAATCGAACTTAGACAAATGCATATTTGATCAAACATATTAAAAATTAAGTAAATAAGCATGAGCAATTGATATTTATATATAATAACAATTCAGAAATATTTGTAATCTACAATTAGTGTACGGACTATAAGGATATCACAATTAAAGATCAACATTTCAGTTTTGGTTGATGTCTAAACTACAGACAACAACAAAAAAGAAAGTACTTTCGCGCTGTAATTGCGATTCCTTGGCTGTTTTCTCAATACTTCTCAGCCAACTGATGGTGAATTCAAATGGACACTTGAGAAGATAAGTGGGTAAGTAGTGGAGTGTATGTGTATGTGTGTGTGTGTGTGTGGGTGCTTGTGCTTTACCTTTCAGTCTCGACCTTAATGCGTTGCCTGATCACCTGCTGTCGCATACATTCTAATGTGGACTCCGAGAGCACGTCTGTTTGAGAGCTAGAGTCGCTGGCAACGCTACAGGCGCCATTGTTGGAGCGGATCAGCAAGTGAATGAGCGAGCGAGACGAAATGATATTTTTATAGTGGTGTTGTTATCGACAATTGATTATATTTTTTGTGTAAGAAAGAACGTGAAAGAATGGGAGAGTAAGAGAGACGGTAGAAGACAGAGATGAGCCAAAAAACATCCTCCATTGTTATCGTAAGTAATGTAGTAGTAGTAGTAGTAGTTAGAACAAACACAAATCAAAAACCGAACAATATACATATATAAAAGAGTATATATATGGTTATATAGTATATGGCATGAGTTGTTCGTTAGTACGTTGGCAATATGGGGGTAGGCGGGATGCTCACCTAAGCTGATGCTGATGCAAATCTTCATAGTTGGCATAGTGCTGATAGCGATGATTGAAAATATCATTCTGATGTATGCCACCCGCATTGGGACTGACAGAGACATTGCCTGAGATGGGACCGCTGCCATTGGGTGCCGGCAGCGGGGGTGGTGGTTGGTAGGCTGGTGGCTTCGGATTGCACTCCAGAGCGGCGAGGGCCGCCGTCGGTATTTGCTGGGGCGTGGGGGCGGCAGCAACGGCTGTCTCTACGGAGGCATAGGTCTCTACGGGCACAACACCATCCTTGCGGTTTTTGCCAAACCGAAACATATGTCCGATGCCGCGCAATATGCTCGGCTTCTTGGCGCGTGACTTGCCGTGCTTGCCATCGTTCAACGAGCTCTGGAAGGGACCGTTGCGTTGTGAAGCGAACCCACCTTCGTGGTCGCCGTCCTCCAGCAGCCAAGTCTTGCGCGGTTCTATCAAACGATTTGTGTTAGCATTTGTTTTGAAATCGGCAAATCTTTACTTACTGTTGGCATCCGGTTCGCTGACGACAGCCGCCCGCAAACTATCCTCGCGTCCACGTCCGCGTGGCGCCCGCAATGCCGTATGACTGCGCGGCTCATCCGACATTTGCAGCTCCTGCACCATCGTCTGAAGCGACTCCAGGGAGGAGGACTTCTTGAGACCGAGCGAGGGACCCAAATCGCCCACCTGATCACGTGCCTCGGCGGCTAACAGCTGCTGTGTCTCAATGCTAGATGCTGTCTTGGCGTGCTTATAGCCTGGTATCTGTGCATTGGCGCTGGCAATGCGCGCTGTCAGAGACTCGATGGAACCGCCGTAGACCGCCGACTTGGTCAGTTGAATGCGACGCTCCCGTTCGCGCTCCTCACGCAGTTTCTTGTTGCGCTGATAGGTGCCAGTTTCGCGCGCGTCTAACGCAGCATGATGTTTCTCTGAAATGGAACGACGACCGAGTGCGTCACGCGAGAAATGCTCGACACCCGAGTTGTTCGTCTCCAGGCTGAGCTGGGAAGAGTAGGTGGCGTCAAAATTGGGGCATAGGCCAGCACCCGAATTAGAGGCAGTTTCAATGCCACCGCCAGTGGTGATTTGTGAAGCGTTTGCGCTGCCTGGATTGCCATAAGCAGCTTCGTGGTTGCGCATGGGCAGCGTGCTGTAAAGGATCAAGGATCAGGATCGCTCTCTCTCTCTCCCTCTCACTGTCAGCATTTCAAAGACATTTACTTACGGAGACATGGGTTCGGCATCGTCCTCAATCAGCACCGCCGTGTTGCCATGTCCGTTCAGCAGCTGCGCCGGCGACCAGTTGTCGTTGGTGGCCATGCAGTAGCTGTCGTTGCGCAGTGCCACGTTGGCGGCATGGGACGGCGGTAAACGACGCGACTGTGTCTGCTGCAGCGGCTGTGCGTGCGGCTGGGAAAGCTGCTGGGGATGGGGCTGTGAGTGCGACTGCGACTGCTGTTGCGATGAGTTTGAGGAGCAAATGCCACCGGTTAGACGATCCAAAACGGGATTGCTCCATCTGTGGAAGAAGAGTTTATGACTATAAGTAGTTGCTGATGATTTCCGACTCTAGGTAGCCACTTGTACCCGAAAGGTAATGATAATACGGTTTTGTGGAAATGTATGTAACAGACAGAAGGAAACCCTACCGACCTAATAAAGTGGTGGCTTGGCAGAGCGCTGCTTGTAACTAGTACTTGTACTCACCTGTTAACGTCGCTGCCAGCGCTGCCTGTTGTACAGCTACCGCGGGATTCGCGTTTCTCGGGACTCAAATAGATGACGGTGGCTCCAGAGTTATCGCTGGCATTGGAGCTGCTGTTGTTGTTACTGTTGCCATTGCTGCTGCTGCTGCTCGTGTGCTCCAGAATGTCGTTGGAACTAGCGGAGCGCAGTATTTTGCGGCCGACCAGTAGGGTAATAGTGCCCGGATGCTTTCCAGGATTATTAACCATGGCACGACGCAAGGTCTCCATGGCCTCGGCATTATTTTGGCCACGCAAGGAGACGCCATTAACGCTCAGCAGCTGATCGTTCATGCGGAGTCGACCGTCGCGTGATGCCGCACCACCATGAATGACATTTTTCACAAAGATGCCCAAATCTCCGTCGTGTTTTAAGAAGGCGCCTCCATTGCCGCTACCACTTGAGGCATTGAGGTTGGAGCACGTCTTGCCCTTTACGCTAACACCCAGGCCAGCTTTCTCTGTGTCGTGCACGGGTATGTGGAGCGTGAGCTCCTCACGCGAATGCCAAGTGCTGCCAGTGGGTGGGAGGCTCTCCTGTTGAATTGATAAGAAATGAAGGAGTAGCAACAATTGATCAGCTATTTGCCCGTGTGTTAGCTACTTACGTTGGAGGCCGCCGACTCGCTGCCCGCGTCTATGAAATGGTGAGATTCGTTAAGCTGCTGCTGCTGCTGCTGCTGCTGTACGTTGTGTTGCTGGAAAAGGGAGCGAGCACTGCTCGACTTCTGGACTTTGGAGCTGCCATTAGAAGCGGGCACAGACGATTTTGGCGGCGTGTTCGTGCTTGCTGTCTGAACATCCGACTGCTCGGACTGCTGCTTGAAGGATGAGACAGAGACGATTAGCAACTAGGTTTTATCAAAATCAAAAGGATGTCACACTTACCGGGAGCGGTCCACGCACCTCCACCTCAGCGAGCTCCTGCTGGCGCGACACTACAATGCGCACTGTTGCGCCTGATGGCATGCCCCGTAATATGGCCACCACATCGGTTTGAGTCTTGCCCGTCATGGGCGTTCCATCGACCTCAAGCAGCCGATCACCTGGTTTTAGGCGTCCATCCTCAATGGCAGCACCACGTGGCAGAATGTTTTTAATGTAAATGGGGCAATGGCCGCCGGCCGGATTGTCTCGTGTGGTTACCGAGAATCCCAGACCGTTAGCGCCTTTCTTCAGCAGTATCTCGATTTTACGACCAAGTTTCCGGGTGTTTGCCACCTGCAATGAGGTGCCCACGGGCGCCGCATTCGGCTTGCGTGTGGGCGACACCGTCGCCACCTTCGACTCCACACCCGATACCAGTTTCTCTTCCGCTTCAATCATTTCAGCCACCTTGGAGTCGCGACGCCGCTGCTTCTGGTGATGATCGGCGCGCAATACTCGCACCCGCAGCTCGGAGGACTCTAGTGCTCGCCGCAAATACTCCTGCACCTGGCCTTCGGTCAACCCAATCAATTTGGTGCCATTGATCTCCAAAATGCGATCGTTGCGACGCAGACGACCGCGCTCAGCCCGACTACCCGGCTCCACGTGCTGCACCAGCAGTCCTCCGCCGTGCTCATTGTCTGGAATGGCGGTCAGACCCAGCGGACTGCCATACTCATTGATGATTAGCAGCATCTCGCCATCCTTTTCGCGTATGGACTCGTAAGCCTGCCCCAGCGGCTCCTTTCGTTTGCTTTCCCGCGGCAGGGACTTGCTCGAATAAATAGGCGCACCGGCAGCTCCACCGACGTACTGCACCTGCGACTGCGTCTGCAATTGTGACTGTGACTGAGACTGAGACTGGGATGCAATGTGGTTTGGCGGCTGTTGCTGCTGCTGCAGCTTCTCGGCCGCCTCCATCCATTTATAGCCATTGCCATCGCCCAGAAACTGCATGGACAGACGGCCGGAGCGTGCGAATGGCTGATGTGGCACTGCTGCGGCGTGGATGGCGTGTTGTGGCTGCTGTTGTTGTTGTTGTTGTTGTTGGTGCTGTAGCTGCAGTTGCAGCGCCTCGTCATCCTCTTCCCACTGCGGCGACAAATGCCCGCCGGCCTTATCTAGCAGGATACGCTCTGGCGAATCGCCACCTGCATAATGCGGCGCCGCTGCTGACCAACGTTTGTTGCTGCCCTCCGCCTTAAGGGAGGCCAACAGATTTGGATCGCTGCTGCGACGCACTTGGAGGCCCAGTCCGGTCATCGGGCCCGATGTGGTGCTGGTGACCTCAATGTGTGGCGTCGATAAGTTGCGTGTGGGCGCCTCCGTGTTGGTGGGATCGCGAAAAATATCTGGCGAACCGGTGCCTACTGATGAGCTCCCAGAGGCACCGTCACCGCCACCCTGAGGCACACCCGGATCTGGTCCAGAGTCCTCAAAATGTGCCAGTATTTGTTCGCGATCGTCGGCCACATCACGCACACAGTCATCGGGATCCAAAATGCCAGACTGTGTTTGCAAGTGATGGACAGCGACCCAAGAGTCCGGTTCCTGTAGTTTATGAAAAGAAACGAAACAACAAGATCCAAATTAGTTTATTTTCTTTTCTCGAGAACTAGTTAACCCTAGAGCTGCAGCAAGAGGCGTGCAAAGGCCGACAGCTTTAAAAAAATTGCACAGCAACCCACAAAGTCGTGGCGGTTGGCATTCCAGCAAATGCCAAACGCCGAAAACGAACAAAAAAAAAAGAAAAAAAACAAATTCAAAAAAACGCGACTTAGCAAACAAAAAGTTGCATCATGCACGAAACTAGTCAACAGACTGTATGCCCCCTGGTTCCCTAATTCGGAGAACTGGAATAGAGCGAAACATTCCAAACTGTTTTTCCCTACAACTTGATGGCCAGCATATGGATGATTAGTTTGTAACGACATTATAAATGGCTTATGTTATCTCTAAATAGACAACTATACACACATACTTGTATTTCGCATATTTCTCCATTTTAAATGTAACCCCTGAAATGGGGAAAATAGTATTTACCTTCATACACGCATATAGCGGAGAGGGGGGCCTCTTGGGCAACGTCAGCGAGTAGGATTTCTGTAGAGTGCCGTGCGGTATGCCTTCGTGCTTGGCCGCCACTTTGTAGGTGTGGCGCCAGCCGAAGAGGCCGCTCAGTTTGTTGGCGATTACCGGGCACTTGGGCGGTACATCGAACATTTTAATCCTCTCTCTCTCTCTCTCTCTCTTTCTCTATTTTTTTATCTTTGGTTAACTAAGCACTTTTTCACAGTTATTTATCATAATTGTGTATTGATTATTTGTGAATCGTTTTGCATTTTCGACAGTTTTCGCCGCATTTTATATCGTTCTAGTATTAATACTTTGGTTTAAGGAACATGGTGCCGTTGTAGCCCTATAGATGAGTTATACATATATGTAGTGTCAGATCAATGTTTTTAAAAAGACACTTGTCGCCCCAAAATCAAGAACAGGCAGGCAGTAAAATCAGTTACAAACCACTAGACTAGTACTACGTCATAGCATGGAAAAAAATCAGCCACCCATAGATGATGGTGGGTGCCGTGAGGGTGCTGAGGCATGACGAACTAGGAAAGCCAAGCCATAGACATAGCCCGGAAAGTGTTGGACCCATCCAAGCACGATTTTTATATTTCGTTTTGTACACAAACAAACCAACCAACAAATGAACAAAAAGTGCGAAATAAAAAGAAAAAGAAACATTCATTCATACATTATTCATCAGCGTCTTGTTGGGGAATGTCATAAGCAATCGAAAATATTTATTTACTCCATTCATAAAACGAACCATCTAGGTCTTCTTTTAATACTATATTAATCATATTGACTCTACCAATAGATTGCCGTCATGCCGTTCCCATATAGCTATAGTATCTGCCTTGGCATGACCAATAATGTAATAACCAAACGACGCGTCATGCATATAAATATCTTGTGAATGTTTCGCTTCAAGAGAACGAATCATTTTTTCAAACAAGAATAACTCTTTTTTTCTGTTGAATTATTTTGATGGAACTACAAGTATGCACGATCAAGAGGCAATTAGGTTTTCTCATGGAGAGAGTACGAAACTCTGTTCCCCTCCTCCAACCACTTCTCTGCTTCTCCTCCACTCCATTCAGCAATGGGTTTCAACAACCAACCCATCGTCAAGCCATGCGGTGGCAACTTTTGCATACCGTTGCCATTGTTACTCGCAATTCAAACGACGACTACAAGAAAATCCCACAAGACATACAATATCTATGCATAGAAAAAGAAAGGCCGCGCACTGCTGTCATTATAATGCATGTAAGAAAAAAAAAAAAGCAGAAAAAACAGAAAGAGCTACAGCATTATAAAGTTCGCCCATGCAGGTTGTGTGCAACATTTCTGTCTCTCTGTCTGAGCCTAAGGTGCGCATGAAAGGCCAATGCTGTAGGGGTTTTCAGCAATTGCGAATGCATTGGCCATTCAGATTACAGACATCGCTGACACTAACAATCGATGCCCGTCTAAGCATCATGTGTCGAAGACAGTGAATTATCATTCATTCCAGCTGTCTCTGCAATTCTTCGCAAGCCAAGAGAATTGGACATTAATATTACCAAGTAGTTGAGTCGGCAATGAAGAAAGATTTATTAAGCTAAAGAACTCTGCTCAAACTAATTTCAAACCAAAACGCAAATAGAAGTGATGTGTGAAGTCATTATCTTCAATTCTTCCCTACTAATATCTCTCAGATAATTACTTTCAAACCTCAGACTAAAGGAGACCTTTCTGTTGTTATCTGAAGGAAAGAGTATTAACTGCTCTAATTCAATGGAGATCTTTGAAAACTCGGACACTTTGGTTTGTGATTACGAAATTATCCTCAATTCTTCTTATACTGCTCTAAGAGAGTATTTGGTTAGAGTACAGCTTTGAAATCTGTGATATCGTCTGCTTAAGGCAATACCCATTTATTTCTTAATATCTAGCCACTTTGTTTTGGTAATTGCTTTACTTTCTACTTTATCTAAAAGCAAGAGCATGTCTAGCTCTGATAAATCGGAGTGTTAACTGCTTTAGTTTCAAAAGTCTTCTGATGTTATTTGATCTGAGAGGATCTCTGGATTATTTCAAGCCAAATGCTTTCGAGTTATATTTTAGCTGCCAATTAGTTTTCTTTGATCCCAATCTGATCTGAGATCTATCTATCAAATTAAGAGACTCCTACTTGTAAATCTGATGGTGTTTTTGGTTCAAGTCAGTCTTGTGCTTCTCCTTACTTTCTAAGATCTAAGATCTATCCTCATGAAACGTGAGCATCCTTAAATCTCTTAGCGTTATCTGTTTTGAGAAGTTATCTAGATATCAGTTTTAAGATGACTTCTATGACTTTTTGCTTTAATTTATTAGAGTATTTGTGCTGCCTTTTGCTAGCTCGAGCACTATTCTACTTTTTGCTCTACAATAAAGCTCATCATTAGGGTTTTGTTTGTTTGTTTAACATCTCTAAGCTTGGAGTTGGCTTTAATCATACATTTGCGTTGTGTGTGTTCGCCATTTCCGCCAATGTTGCTCCCGCTAGCTAGCTTAGCTCTGGATTTTACTTTGACTTTAAGTCTAAGTCTGGCTGGGCTTGGCTCTTTTATCAGTGCTCTTTGGCCACATTGCCATTCTGGGTTGTGGAAAGCAAGAAAGCAGCTGAAAACACATGGCGGCCGGTCGCTCTTTTTATCAGCAGCCTAAGCAGAAGCGAACAGCGAACACCACCTACCTGTCTCGTTTATTAGTTTACTCAGCAGAAATGTTTTTTCCTTTTATTTTTTTCTATTTATCAGCCAACTGGCATCGCATCGCATCGCATTGCATCGGATCGCAGCGACGCTACTTATCAGTTAAGGTGAAAGCCAAAGTAGTCGGCAGTCATTTTCCATTTAAGGCTATTCATTAATTTCTTTGTAACGCTTTCTACCAAACGTCGTCATTACCACCACTTCGATTGCCGTTTTCCTACACATTCTATATACATACTCGTATACATATCTACCCATTTGTATTTACATAGATGGTGCAGATAAGATCGATGGATCGGACTCCATAGGAAAAGAATTCCGCTTACATCATCAGACCAACTGTCGATTCATTCATTCAATGCTATGCTATGGGGCCGCAGAGTTCACATTTTTTCATTTTTTCAACCGAAGGGTAAAATGGGTATAAGTCCTTCATTCTGTTATTATTTGAAGGAAGCATCCCCGACCCCATGAAATACTAGTATGTATAATCAGATAAATGATTTCGCCTAGATTTCGGATGGTCAAAACGGAAACTCAAAACGTTTAACGGAATCAGAAGCTAGTCTATTTTTTAGCTTTAAATGATTGAAAAAATCGTTCAAATCAAAATTCCGCAAAAAGGCGATTCCTCAACCATTTCGGTACTTGTGCTTTCTTCTTCTTCTTCTTCATGTAACTTACGAAATCTGTTTGCTTAACCATAAAAAAGTAATGCTCTTTGCCGTTTTTTAGCGTCATTTAAATGAGTGTAATAAACTAGAGGCACTTAAAATGTTGAAAACGCTGCGACAGCAGCAACAGAGAAAGAGGAAAGCCGCTTACGAACTTTAATTGCAACAACAAAGCACCGAAACGTCAAGCGCTGAGGGGTAACTGAAGGGGGAAATAATACTGCTATACCTACAACCGACTCCCTCGATACCCATAGAGCAAACAATACGTACAAAAGAAATGCCAACAGACGCTCAGTTGATTGAACCTGCGATTGGGCAAGACGCTCATTAATTGATTTCCACGACGCGGTTTCTTGACCATATCTCCAAATTACGCACTTCTCGTTTATACAAGTATATAATGTACACATAGTATATACTTAGATGTGGGAAAGAAAGTACTACAATTACACTGAAATGGAAATCGTTAGGAAGTTTGAAATTACTGCATCAACAGCAGTTCCAATAACAGTTGAAAATAAAATACGGACAGGATGGAATATTTCAACTGTGTGTAGAATTCTTCAAGGACGTCAAACGAATATAATGTTCAGACTCTTGTAAAGCCTGTAGCCATGCCAGTTATCGAGAACCGATTTCAACAGAATATAGAGGGGTATATCAAAGATATAAATACAGTACCGCAATAAGCATGTGGTACAAAAATCCGAGGCATTAAAAAACCTCAAAAATATCAAATATATTTATGATACTATAAGCAATCGTTTAAATGGCAGCAGCTATATGAAATAGTAAAGCGATATGTGATTTGTAATAAACTTAAGTTGTACAGTTATAAGGCCAGTCTAGCCGCCAAATTTGACTGCTCTAGCTGGTATGGTTCAAAAGTTCGCGAGGCTCATACAGACAGACAGAAGTATTGTCCCTTAACATGACTCTGCCACTACTCCTTCTACCTGTATACACACATTACCAGCTTTTTAGTATACCCTGTTAACAAAGTCGCTACCGCCGTTCAATATTCCCATTTAGATGAGCTTACATACTTTTCTTTTTCTTGTGCTGCTGA